AATATGTTTGGACAACGCTGCTCTTCATCATATTGGGATCAAGGATTGTTTTGATGGTGTCTTAACAGCCTCTCAATTATCATGGCTCACGTCGGTTAATCCCTTTGAATTTAAGTAATCTTATCATGAAGTTCCTATAATTGCATCCACTGTAGATATCACCTGCAATGTACAGTATACCACAGCATACATTATTGTCTTGTGTACACTGACTTTTCTTTTTCTTTTTGCAGTTTGTAAAGTAAACAGATGTGGAGGCTATTGTCCCGTTTCACTGATTCGTTGATTTTCATATAATGCTTATGAAAATATTTGTATAGTTTGGGAGAAACGGTTATAGGATACACGTCAATACACTGAAGTTAAAACGTTGCTTCATAACAGGTCGGATGCTGTGGCGGTTATTCTGCCAGTGACTACGGGAACATACACTTACCTGTTCCGGACACCTGTCGAGACCAGGTAAAGATGAATCCGCATTTGGCTATGCGAACGGCAGCTTGCGGGGTTCCACCGATTCGTAAATTATGAATCACATCAAAATATGGGGTGTTTCGGTAAACTAACGAATCAGTAGATGATATATACAAAGATAAAAGACACGAGTGAAGAGATGAAATATATATAAAGATAAAAATATAAATATAAAAATATAAAAATAGGTAAACTAACGAATCAGTAGATGATATATACAAAGATAAAAGACACGAGTGAAGAGATGAAATATGTTTTCACATTATCCTCGCTTAGAGTACATTTTTCCACCTGCTATAGCGAACTCCACACACTCGATTTTAAGAAATTGATTATTAAGCATTTCGCTGCAGGTCACCGGTAACCAGTACGGGGACTCCTGCGCCGAGATCTTCTCCCAGTACCTGGAAGTCCGCACCGGTTGGATCGCCGGCCTCTCGCTCTCTCTGTGCTTCTTCCAGGTTTGTTGTTAGATGTATTTATTTGTTTTTATTTATTTGTTTGTTTGTATTTATTTATTTATTAGATGTATTTATTTATTTATTAGATGTATTTATTTATTTATTAGATGTATTTATTATTTATTAGATGTATTTATTTATTTATTTTATTTATTTATTTATTGCGTGTGCGTTGCGTTGTTGTTGTTACTTCGTGCTATAGCTATTAAAGGTCGAGTCGTTTATTTAGTATTCCGATTCGGTAACAGCACATTGCAGGACATGATGCAGGGCAGGTAGCTGGCGCTTTGTTATTAATGTCTTCGTCAGAATTTTGGGATTCTAATGGAGATACAATAACAGAAAGTTAATTATACATGTTCCATCGTGAAATTATCCATTCTCGACCATACCTGTTCCAAACACTCCTCTCTCTCTCTCTCTCTCTCTCTCTCTCTCTCTCTCTATATATATATATATATATATATATATATATATATATATATATATATATATATATATATATATATATATATATACGTGGTATATATACCCTTTGGAAAGGAGGTATATAAACCACGAGGTTTTTGCTCTTCTGAAGGGCACCCCTTTGAGAAAGGTAAATACTCGAGCCTGAAATAATACGCGGTATGCCGTTGACACTATTTACCAGTGTACAGCGCGTATAATCTAGAGCAAGTAATATAGGCCACTCTCATTACCAATCTACTGATAAGGAGAGCTGCAAGGCAACCCCCATTTCTCTCTATCTGTTTATCTATATATCTATCTATTTATCCATCCATCTATCCATCTGTATCTATCTATCTATCTATCTATCTATCTATCTATCTGTCTGTCTATCTATCTATCTTTCATATGTTAATATCCATTCATATCTCTCTCTCTCTCTCTCTCTCTCTCTCTCTCTCTCTCTCTCTCTCTCTCTCTCTCTCTCTCTCTCTCTCTCTCTCTCTCTCTCTCTCTCTCTCTCTCTCTCTCTCTCTCTCTCTCTCTCTCTCTCTCTCTCTCTCTCTCTCTCTCTCTCTCTCTCTCTCTCTCTCTCTCTCATATTATCTTTAGGTTTTATATTATCAGTACACGTAACTTGCCAGAAAGTCCAGAGTAACAAAGCTACTTATTTAAAATTTTCGATCGCTGATCTTGTTCTTACTACAACTGTATCATGAGCCAAACCTCCCTTTTCAGTGCTTCGCCATGATGTTCGCCTTCTGCATGTGGCAGGCGCTGAAGGAGATCCAGAAGGGACACTAATCACAGACTTCGTCCGGTCAGAGGGATCGAAGTAGAGAATGCACATGTACTACGTCTTTGTGTCCTTTGTCAGCGCCTATAACAAGTTTCATACCTCATTGTTTTATAAATCCCGAAAAAAATGAATGTTTGCATTGTCATATGTTTAGTTCCATTGCGGTGTGAATGTAGACTGTATTTGTAGACGGTGAAACGTGACGTCGTCTTAGGATTAGTTTTATTTTGGTTACTTAAGTACTTTCCTCTTTTTTATGATTCGTACTGTAAGAATGATGACATAATTTACTCTGTGAGTAGAACACTGTCTAACAATATTCAGAAAAAAGAAAGTTAACTGGATGCTGACGATGATAAACTGGTCATTCAGGAACCTATGTTCTATGATTTATGATGCGCTTGGATCGTCTTCGTTTCTGAAATGTCTTATGGAATGAGAATTGCCTTCTAACGCCCGAGCTCCACCAGCCAGACACGATTCTGTGCCCTGAGCCACTTCCGGACCAAGAATCTTGCTCTGGACGCCCAACGTTCTCCATATATATTGGTTACCTTACATATGCAATCCGCAAGACTTGCAGTGCCTATGCTGGCTGCGAATGCCTTCGTGTTACAGCTAGACAATAGTATTAATAAACTTCTAAGACACCCATAGACTAGAGAAAATTGTAGGATTTAGACAAAGAAGGTTCCCCGAGTTGTGACTCGGACGAGGTTCAAAACAGTCAAGAAAGGTGGCTGAGGGAGTGCTCTCTTCTGGTAGATTATTCCTCATGCACCATCGTATATTTGTTTTATGTATTCTCCATTCAATTCCAGATACTGAAGGAAAATTATTGACATATATTAGCTGAAATGGCTTTGCAACGGATGAAACCAGTTTAGTCAGCCTCCTTTGAATTCCCTACAATTTTTATTGCCTTGAAATCTACACTGCATTACATAAGATATGTTTACTAATATTCTTTTTGAATTTTTGGAATAAAAATGATTTATCATATAAACTTATTGCTATCCTTTGAATAAGGTATACTTACACGTAATGGGGACAGAGATTAATTGAGTGAACACTGGAATTGGAAAGTAGCAGACATATGAATGTACTAGGCATAGATTTTTATCACAATAATGAACTGTTGTTAAAAACAAGAATACTGATGAACTAAATATCATAAACTAATATGGAACCCATTATACAAATAATAAAACTTCTTGTTTTTAATTTTAGGATAAGTGAAACTCCATCAATCCATCACTTTTTTTCTTATTCAACCTGCATACAAATACAGTACAATTGTCTTTTTACTTTCTTAGTGATAATCCAAACAGAATTACATAAACAAAACAAATATCATGTGATTCAACAATGTATAGTGAGCAAAAAAGCAAAATGGCAAGAAACATAAACCAATAAAAAAAAAAAAAAGGTTTTCAAGGAACCCATTCACTCTCCTTGATGCATGACTGATGTTCTAGACATATAAAGCATCTGCGTTTTTCAATATTTCTTATCCAATTACCTACCCATCGACACAGTTAGGCAGAGGAGTAGCAAGACGTGACGGCCCCAAAGTCGAAAGGCCGCCATCACCCTTTTCCTTAACTGCCCGTGCGGATCCAAACAATTTTGTCAGAACAGTCATTAGTGATTGTGAATGCGTCTCTCGTGACTAGCAAGTATACTGAAGTTTTTCTTACTTCTTGCATATCAATTATTTTTTTTTTTAACTTTCATAATATATTAACCTTTTCCACAATGATCCTACTTAAAGTTAGTGTAAAATGAACTGATGATATAAATAAAACAGAAAATGTTTATCGTTCAGGAGAAAACATCATGAAATAAATGAGAGCTTAACAGATACAGATGATAGTAAATCAAATACATAGTTTCAAAGCTGAAACAATTAAAACCATACTCTTTTTCTTTTTACTGAGGTGAAAATGCACTTCACAGGTTAGTGATAGTTCAGCTAATCGTCACCAATTTCTCAAATGCATCTTTGCCTTGATAAAAAGAAAATAATAATAGTATAGTATAGAAATGATCACCTCTTCGCCTATAACCTAGAATCTAGACTCCATCAAAAACAAACAAATAAATTAAATCACATTTGATCGACAGTAGACCATCGCTGAAGACCGTAAACAACATATCGTAGTTGGGGGAAACAAAGTCTCTTGTAACGAAGGCAATAATTCCTGAGCAATATATTGATAAAATGATACTCATCTGAAAAAGAACCCCTGTTTAAAAATACAATGCCACTACTACACCTCAGTCCAAATGAAACACCTTACAAGAAGCAAGGCAGTTTGTTGTGTTCCACGAAAGAATATGAGCTCGCTCTTTTTTTTTTTTTTTTTCACCAAATCAAATGGAAAGCAATATGTGATTTTAAAAAGAATTTCCTCACCATATCTATTTTTAAAAAGTCTCCAAAAGCAAACCAGCTCAAAGAGATATTATTTCTTAACAGCAATTGGTCATCATTTCATCTTAAATCACATTCCTCAAGTAAAACAGGTTTGTCTCTTTGTTTGCATAATGTTTTTCTTCTTCATCACAAGACACACACACCGAGGGAAATATCGCCAAAGAAAAATGAAAAAGCGACATCCAAAAGCTCATACTCGGACTGAAAACCTGAATCATTTAGCTTCTTAATTGGTGTCTTGCAAAAGAGAGGCTTTTTTCTCTTTATAACATCACTGCAGTTTGGTCAAAATCAGCTGCTATGTACACTCCCCCCACACACTTAAAAAAAAAGAGAGACATTTATCACATTTCATCAAAAAGGAAATGAAAATAATTCTTCCTAAAAAAAAGAGAACAAAAAACACAGCATTCTTTATCATATACTGCACATATCCAAAAACTAATGCTGTAATTCACTACAGACTGAAGGCAAACTTAACTTCACAGTCTTATTTAGTAACACAGACCACATTCTTTCATAGTTTACAATAGCTAAAATATTGGTGCTACCAGATTACAAGGTTCACACAATCTTACTCAAGCTATTCCTGTTCATAATAAAGCCACTCATAAAAAAACACACACATCAAAATACAAAACCGTAACTTCAGCACCACACTAATACACAACACAGACGAGACTACTGAGAAGCTCCTCCACAAGTTTCACCTATGATAAAATTGAATGAAAAGATCCTACAATCTAGGATTCACTCCCGTTCGTGATTTTCTCTCTCTCTCTCTCGCTCTCTCTCTCTCTCTCTCTTTCTCTCTCTCTCTCTCTCTCTCTCTCTCAGTAAACTTCTCTGTACATTATGCAGAATGCTTCCCATTTAGGGTTTGAAGCAATCGGTAACTGCCCTGGCTCCTTTAACCACCAGTAATATAAGCGTTTGAGAGACATTTTGGTTTACAGGATGTAGAATTTTACATACATAAAATTTTGTGACTAAAAGACTAGGTAGGTTATTTTCAGTTTCATAAAATTACCATAAGATTTACCAAACTAAGTTAACAAACAGAAACATCACTGCATAAAACCTGAAATAAACTTGATGCAGGGTCTTCAATTTCCTTTCAGCTATTAAATATATAACCATAAAAGATTCAAACCTCAAGAACATTATAAAGCCTATAACCATGAATTATACAAGAGACTTTCCACACTGCGGCTCCTTAATCCATGAACTTCAGTAAAATTTTATCTTTACTATCACCCCAAGCACAAAAAAGAAAACTTGTCAAAATATGACATGTCACAGCTCAAATTATGTTGCAATTGCTGGCTTCACCATTATCACACTTTTTTTTTTATTCACAAAAATGATCGATCTTTTTTTAAATATACAAAAACTACAGCAATTTATGAGATTTCCTATAAGGGTAGAAAAAAAATTCAGCCTCCAATGACTTTCGTATCCGTTGTCCACACAAAAGCAAAAGGGTACTTATGACTTGCTGCTATATACTGATTTCACATTCAAAGCTTTAGTTGGCCTTTCTTGAATATTCACTCTATAAAGAATAAATGTGTATGTGAATGATTCGACATTTACCCAACATGAGTGTAATAAACATTGACATATGGCTTTTAATAATGAAAGACATGATGAAAGGTGCTGTATTCTGAGGGGAATGAGCACTGCCATATTTAAAAAACACTGAGAGGTTTTCATAAATCTTATCATAAATATATGTAATGGAATGCACTTTCTTTCATGGCTGATTATTTTAAAGGGTCTTTGAATCTGATCTATAATAAAATAAGCTCTGATATGTGACATATGAAAATATCACATCATTATTATACAGGCTCATGTTTGTCAATCACTATTTTTTCTCCATGTTATATGATTGTCTCCATATCTTTATCTATTATCTAAAACTCATCATCATCAGAATGATGGTTCGGGTCTTGATTTCTGGCTAACATGTAGTTATCCATATCAATTGAGCGACAGTTGTTGATAGCATAGCGCATTTTTTCTGCCATCACCTCCTGGCTGGAGTAGGGTGGGAGTCGTAGTTGGAAGAAGCACGTCTGAGCAGTAGGCAGTGAGTCGATTGGCCGGTCCACACGCATAACCTGCAACAACCATCATGGTTATCCTGTTTAGCTCCAACAAAAATTTTGAAATTAGCAAAGCGTGCATTTCAAACTCAATGTGCTTACATATAATTCCATCCATCTCTATTATACTAACTAGTATAATAAAAGAATCATTGACTTCTTTGCATCAGAATATCTGTCAAGTCTGTCAAACATCTAGTTCACATGAGAAATGTATGCAAGTATCACTTATAATCTAGCATCTGTAACATACATTTTGAATAAAAAGATATATCTTCTTGCCAATGAAAAGAAAACAGAAACCCTGCCTAAACCGATATACATTAACAAGCTATAAATTGATAGGTAAGCCAGTTCCCTTTACCCATACTTTCTCTCAATGAGTTTATTCCTTTTGAAGCTAAAACATATTTCTATATTTCACGCCTCAGAAATTTAAAGTCTACATATATATTTCTGTACAAAACAGCACCTGATATAAAAGACTATCCTCACAGTCAATCACCTCTTCTTAAACTATATTAATGCACTATATCTTTTTAAAAAATCTTCTAGAAATTATATAGTACTAAGCTCCAGCAATACTCAAAACACTGTGAAACAAAGGAAGAAAAATAAAAAATCTAAAGAGTAAAAATAAACAAATAAAATAGCAAGCAAGACCCCACCTGAAACCGTTGCGACAGATCAGCCAAATTAGCTGGCAGTCGTGAGCGCCCTGACACAAAGCGGACAAACAAAACCCGTTCACAGGGACTGAATGACTCCAGAATGTGCCAGAGCCATACCACAAGGGGGTCATTTTCATCCACCTCACGATACCTTGTTGAAAAAAGAGAAGTATGGTGGGGTGTATTTCTAGTTCAAATGTCAAATATGAAAACCTCCACCATCTGTGTGAGGTATTGGAATTGTAAAATAAAATCTTAAGAGTGCCGGAATTAAAGGCCAAGAATCTTAAAAATGATTCACTTTAATTCTACAATTATCCCTTTATCATGATGCTAAACAACAAAAAAGGCTGTTCCATATATCAACCATATGTGCCCATACGTTAATAACTTTTAACATCACATTTGCTAACACTATGCAGACACAGAAATTTACCTCACAACTTTCTTTAATGTAGCCACAGAAATGTGTGGAAGTCCGCAGACTAGCTGTTCAAGATGAGCCGCTGTCATCAGAGAGAGCAGTGGCACAGGGATGATCCAGGCCATGCCTTCACGCACAGCAGCAACCTGTTGAGGACAATGTGGCCAAGCTTTGTAAAAATGCATTCAGAATACTAAATTTCATGGGGAAAATGTATAAAAAAATAATTTACAATTGGGGGCAACAGATAATAAACATCCCACTTTTTATATATCTTTATCCAACACAAAGGGAAAAGGAAAAAGAAAAATATTTTTCATTAATTCACTAAAACCAATACAACACCTGTCTATCCATCTGGTGCAGCCTGTAGTAGATCGTACGGTTGACATATTCTTGTCTGTTAGTAAACGTCAAAGGAACCGCTCTTCCTCCAGGAACCACAGCCACCCGAGCTCCAGTCATGCTCGTACACTCAAAACTCTCAAGGGGTATCACCTGCAGAAGATACTTCATCATTACTCTCTTTACAAAGATGATTTCATGAGTATAACAACAGGATCTCAGTAATATCTCATTTTTAATTATATCCGAAGAAGGAAGAGGAAATAGCATTCTCATTTCCTGACTGATAGTAGTTGTATTAATGATAATTATACCAAAATTCAAATACACTTACATCATGGAAAGTGTCTTCCGTGACACCATCCTGGTCAATATCTCGGATAGCTCGCAAGCTCTGCATATATTCAATATCAACCTGCAAGTACAAAATATATATTCATCTAATTCTCATTTCAAGAAGACAATGGCAGCCATTCAAGTTATCTTCAGTGTGATATGCATTTGCTAAAAAGGAAAGGAATCACTTAGGTGCATATGTGATAAAATATACTGCAATAATTTCCCCTCCCATTTTCTATGGCTAAAAATACACAAACTTAACAGAACAACACCAATCTAAATACCTCATTTATCTTCAAATATAGTGAAGCATCATATGACTGGGAAAACCTAACAAACATGTGCTTTACAATACAACACAGTTGCAATACCACATGACTTTTTCTTTTCGTTAAGAAAGAAGAGACATCTGAGAAGAACTGTGTTTTATTCATTACTGCATACACAATAACTCACCTCCTCCAGATCAGATGATGAGGGTGGGACACCAGCAAGCAGTTTCCAAACCAGCGGCGCCAGGGGGAGGGCAAGGGGTTTCTTGGTGCGAATGGCAATGCCAAATAATATACCTGGAGGAGGAACAATGATCTTATTTTGACATCCCTGGAATTTATATCAAATATAGGATATAAAGAGAACTGGCTAAAAGCATCTTTTACTATCATTCAGTTGCTCTTTAATAATAGCAAATACATATCACTCCTTACATTCATATTCATTTCCTTTAAGCAAAGTCATCTAACATACCTAAGAATTTGAACCAGAGAAGGTGGTGATGTTGAGTCAAGTCAGGATTAAGGAGGAAACGGTCCCTGTTATTTCCAGCATCCGAGACTGCATTGGGTGTTGGTATGAGAAGAGGAACTCCACCTGTCACCAGTTCATGACACATTTCTGTCATCGTGTCATCAAACACACCACCTGCATCATCTGCTCCTTCACCAACAAGTTTTACCTGTATAAGAAAAAAATTATATAGTTTACATTCCTGCACTTGGAACTACTAAAACCTAATCTCAAGACCAATCACATAAAGTGGTAGAATAAGTTTTTTTTCAACATACAGAACATTCACATCACACTGCCTTAATAAATTTGTCATCCAGCATATGTCATAAAAGGGAAATTACCTTCCAGGCTCTGGAGGGAAGTCTCAGATCTGACGGCTTAAGTTTCACTACTTGGCGAGCCAACTGTATGAAAATAGGCTTACACGGTGCTCCTCTCGTTGATATTCTTTTGACTGTAACTTGAGGCCCATAATTTCGTCCCTGGACCATAGTTCGGCCAAGGCAACGGACCAAAGGAAGGGTGTAGACTCTTGGTGACACAAGTGAACGCACTGCTGCACAGGTCACAGCGCTCACATTTTCTATATAGCATTCCAGCCCAGGTGTCAGGGGTATGAGCTTCCATGATGCATAGAGCAGATCACTGAACTGATGGAGCATCCTCAGCCTTGAGCAGAGAGCACCTGGGGGAATGTTCTGCAAGTTTGGGTACTGTGGCGGCACTGACACGGGAATCCCAAGCTGCATGGGAGCTGGGGTCCCTGGGGTTACTGGGGGAAGTGGCAGAGCTGACCAGGCTGCACTGTGGCTGCGACCGGCACTGATCTGACGGATCCCCTTCCCTGACAGTGTCCAGATGAGCTGGGGTTCTCGTACTGCTGCAGTGTGCCCGAGTCCCAATTGTCCGTCGCTGTTTACTCCCCAGCCATACACATCTCCATTATTGGCAAGTGCTAATGTGTGTTCGGATCCAACAGCTATTTCAACCACAACATGAGTCACAAGAGCAGGAACTTGCTGAGGCCGATTGTGTCCTCTTGTCCGTGATTCTGGCTGGCCAATGAGCCGATCCATTCCACACGTATAAACACGGCCATCTTTTGTGAGAAACACTGTAAACTGCGTGCCACAACAAACCTTTTTAATGCCAATACCACACATAGCTTCGACTTTCTGTGGTGTAGACTTTGAAGTGGAATTTCCTAAACCTAATTTTCCGTAGTCGCCATCTCCAAAAGCCCAAACAGTGTTTCCATCAATGTCAATACAAACAGTGTGATTCAGTCCACAAGCCACTTGACCGATCCGCCAGCCATCAAGAGCCGTAACTCTCTCGGGAAGCTTCTTGTTTGCAGTCGACCCCAGACCAAGTCTTCCATAATCCCCATTCCCAAAAGTGAACAGTTTGCCATCCGATGTCACCACTGCTGTGTGCTTGAATCCGCAAGCCAGCTGAACGACCTCCTGTCCCTGGAACGCCTCAATCTGCCTTGGCCTCCGTTGGCGGTCTGAGTTCCCGTGACCCAATTTGCCGTAATCTCCGTCCCCCCACGAGAAAACTTCTCCACTGTCCGTTACGGCTAAACTATGACCATCTGAGCCACATGAGGTTGCAACTTGTGTCACCACAAAGCCTGAAAGAGACACAATCATTCATAATGAATAGCATAAAAAAACAAAGACAAGAACTGTAACAGTAATGATAAAAATTTATACATTAAAAACAATAATAAGAATAATCATATCTTTGTCAGAAATATGACAAAACAAGTCAAATACTTCTCTTGCACTATAAAAGAAATTCATCTTCATTCCTATCTCTTTCCACATTTTTCACAACGAACAAGCTTCACAAATAATACTGATAACAAAACAGGGAAATTATCCTTTGCTACCTTGCAAGGTGGATATGACAGAGGGCGTGTGCAGGTCATCCGAGTTTCCTTGACCCAGGCGACCATAACTCCCCTCCCCGCAGGCCAAGATGGATCCATTGGCGGTCACTATGAACGTGCAATTCTGTCCGCAGACAACTTGCTGCGCACATCCTAGAGATTCTGTAAGTACTGGTGCCAGACTGCTTCGACCTGTCAACCATAAATCTCATGAAATTTCAGGTACATAAATTGATTTGAAATCATTTCCATATCAAATATTGTGTTTAAATAACAAAATAATTCCGCTAATGTAGCTAGTCCCTACAGACTAAAGCAAACAAACACAATTCTACATTATATGTGACAAAACACTAATGAGCCTTTATTCATGTCTGAAAAAAAAAAAAATAAATAAATATATTAATAATAATAATATTGGTAATAATAATAATACAAAGAAAAAGAAGAAGAAGATGAAGAAAAGAAAAGATGACGAAGAAGAAGAAGAAAAAAAAAGAAGAATGCCAATAACAATAATAACAATAACAGAAATAAAACCTTTCCAAAAAAAAAATTCTCTGCTTTTATCATGAAAGGGTTGAATCGGTGAGATGAAGTATGCTTAACAAATGACTCTCTCCTGTCCAAAAATAACAATAACAGAAATAAAACCTTTCCAAAAAAAAAATTCTCTGCTTTTATCAATTTCATAAACAAAATTAATAAAAAGCATGAGATAGTGCATATACGTATCATTAATGGCTTACAATCTTAATTCTATGACTACAAAGCATGGCTCTCACCTGTCTCGGCCAACTGCCCGTGCCTCCCACTGCCCCACATGTAGACCTGGCAACGACCTCCAACCTGCCAGTCCCCAGGGTGATGCGTTGCCCACGACATCACAGCAGCGTCCTGTTCCACGTCCCATTTGCCATTTTCTATGGCATAGTTCAGGTGTTCTTTATCATCTGTTGAATACAATGAAAATATGATCATTAATCCAATGCCGATGGGAAAATGTCGCGTCCACTTTGGTATTGTTTTGTTAAATGTTTCTATACATAGATGGCTCTCAAAGTGCTTAGCTACAAAGGAGTCAATTAGTAGATCTTGTGACCTCATTTTTCCTAGAAATAGTAGGAAAACACTTTTTTCTAATAATGCTATCAATATTGACACTGTTATTTTTGTTGTAGATTATAATTAATATATTGTTATTAACATTACTAACAGCAGTAATTAGATAGTAGAAAATATAAAAAACCAAGGAAAAATGCTAAACAGGTGAGACACGTACTTCTTGTAAGTGGCTCATTGGTGACCTAGTACTTGTGGAGCCATTTATATGCAAAAACAATTACTAAATTAAACACATAGTGGGCATGGCATGAATGCACATGCCATCCCCAACTGCATGAGGTTAAAGGTAATATAGAATCAGCTTTAATCTTATATAAAACATGTTTCACAAAATCCTGCTTCAGCTATATACTAAATAAAGGACTACTAATTTACCTGAATGCTTTAAAAGCTGGGTTGTAAAAGGACGAGGGAGAGGTGTTCGCTTTTTTAGACTCTCTGCTGTACTCACAGCTGTGCAAAGGGTTTCCAACCAATTCCATTCAACAACTGAAAAAAACACAATAATAATTATTTATTTCAGTTCATGTATCAGGATTAAGACTTTTCAGCACATCTCATTCATAAAACAAGAACTATCTTGTCATGGTTTCTTGAAGTGGTAAATATCTCTTATGATGCCTTTCCATAGAATGGTACAATATGTAGAATTCTCATGGTGTCCTTATCAAAAAACATTATTCACAAGACAATACACCTTTTCTTCTAATATCTACTTGCATACTAACATATATTAACCTTTCCAATAAAACAGGTGGAAAGATTTTAATCCCAATTCCCCACTAGAACAGGGGTTCCCATCCTCAGTCTACCCCATTATGCATTCTAAAAAGAGGCTATGTGAAGAGGCTATATCAGGATTTTATAACAATAGCATTGACAAACTGCAAAATTTGTAACTCTGTAACATGAAAATAGGAAGAGCATGCCTTTTTAGTTGTAACTTGCGCATTCTAAATCATTTGTTCTACATTATTCATCATTCATTATACTGGTGTGCAGTGTACAATGCACACTGTTCAGTAAACTATGGTTATCCTCTGAGACATTAATATACATGGTGTATATACCCCAAGGTGGGAACCCCTGCACTATATACATTTCTCTTCTACATGAAAAAAAAAAAAAACTGACATTGAATTCATCCTAGCTTTGAATTCCACCCAGAGAAGGACTGTTTGCTACCTGATTCCGGTCTGGTAACGTGAACTGGTGCCGGCTGAGTGCAGAGGATGCAGTCCAACCTGAGTAACAACGCCAAGGAACAAAGCTGCTGCAGGTAACGGCTGTGCACCAGTTGTTCTCCGCTGCTTACTGAAAAAGCGGAATCAGTGAAGAATCAGTGTCAAGTTTACCTCCAATATCTCATTTGTCAGAATACAAAATATAAAAGAAAAAATATGATGAAATAAATAAATCCTATTTATTCCTCTGACTACAATAAGAAAGGAGCCTTTCATAATGTAAGCAAAGCTGTCTTTAGCATGACAAAATCTGTGATAAATCTGACACTGCAATCCATCATCCGAAAACATTAAGCAAATAAATAAATAAAAGATCATGCTGAAGTTATGAAAAACTATAGTAATCATAATCATAATTTTGACTGCAATCAAAATAGTAATAGTGGTAGTAATGATGATGATAAAAGATAAATAGATAAAGAAATATAATAGATTTAATGTAAAAAAATATATATATAATAATCATCATTATTATAATAGTAACAACAATAACAATAAGAACACAGAGAAGAAAAAAAAATTGTGATAACAATAAAAAGAAGAGAAAATAAAGAATGATTATAATATTGAAATTCATGTTAAACAACCAAACATATCACAGGATTACTCATAATAATAACTTAATGATACATGCTTATCCCCTACACCCTTACCCACTTACCCATCGGTTTCTCATGCTGGTATTGTGAGAGCAGCAGAGAGGGAAGGTGGGACAAGAGCGCTCGCAGACAGGGAGCCTGATGCAGCCCCGTCATTCCCCACGTGTGCAAACGTGTGCGACAGAAAGCCGGAATACGAAGCTTGAAGAACTGGTCATCTGATAGCGCTGTAAACACTACGTTCTGGAAGTGAGGAGCCATCTTGTTATAAGCTAATTCTTTCATTTCTCTCACTAAATTACTGGGACACTTACATCAGTCACAACAAAGAGACAGCACAAGATTTTTCTGACATCTTATCAACACAGTCAAGTGTTTTATCATTCATACCATAACTGAAGTGCAAACATCCCATACCTGTGATCGGGACACACAAATGGCCAAACCAGAAGTTCCGCACCAAACCAGGGCATTAATTCCTCCTGAGCCGACCAGAGTCTGGAGCAGCGAGCCTTCTTGTAGCGACCAGACATTAACCATTCCATTCATGCTCTTCTGGCAACCTGGAAAGGAAAATTTAATTTGAAAAGAGCTTTATCATTATCACTGTCATCTATAGCATCATTATCATTATCATCATCATGATATCATTATCCTCATTCTATTAATATCACTGCTTTATCATTGAACATCACCATTAAGGTGATCATTATTATTCCTATCAATATTATCATCATTTTTACTATCATTTCTATCTCATCTTATGTCTTTGCTATCATCGTTATTACTACAGTAGCCAGTACAATTGTTTCATTAAATAACAGATTTCATGCACAAAAAAATTAGATTAAATTAAATTTTAAAATCCAGACCTGTGGCCAGCATAAGACCCGAAGTTGAGATGGCCAAGGAAGTGACTGGACTCTGGTGGCCTCGTAGCTGCAGCTGGCACCTTGGGTCACATGACTCAGCACCTTCCCCATGCTGTGAGCTATAATCACATAATACAATTTTCTGTTTATTTATGATAACACTTTATTAATGCCCACATCTTATAAAGAAGTTCTGGATCTTACTACAATCTGCACACCATAAAAAACAAAAGAAATATAGACAATATTTACATTTCCTGTCTTGAAACAAGTAGCATAACAGAAATAACTCTAAAGAAGTAATATACTGGAGAAAAATATATATATCGCAGCATCTTACCTGCCCCTATATTCCGAATCCCCAGACGCAGATGGACTCTGGGGCACTACCCACACTGTGACTAGACCATCCTCATGCCCCACAACTAACATATGTGTACATTCCCCTTCAAGGACTCCACCTGCGGACATGGAATATTGGAATTTATAAAAATAAAAAAGACTTCAAGGAAAAGAAGAATTCAAAGACAGTAATCCAATCATAATTATGTGTGCAACCTTTAAGACAGGATTCAGCACCTCGAAATTCCACAATCTTAAATATATAAACACTGAAGAGCTATACCATACAGCCAAAGTCTATGAACTCACTTATAACTGGAGACCATTTTATGCATAGTGGTAGAGATTTGTAATCCAAGGAATACACAGGAGTCCATCCACTTGACGTCTGAGTCCAAACCTTAGTGCCGCCTTCCCCACAAGAAGCCAGCAAGCAACAGTTGCTGCTCCATTCTAGGCACTGAACTGGTCCCTAGGAAAACAAGGGGATAAGCTGGGTAAACTTCCCTCAATTTTCTAATACATATTTCAAACAGTGATCTCAGGTAACTTCCAATGAGCTTAGCTACTCAAATACTTACCTGTTGGGCTTGAACAGTAACACTCCCCACATCAGATTGGACTGAACAAACGCGGACAACGCCATCGCTGAAACCCACTGCCAGATCTTTATCTTGGTCATGCCATGCTAGGCAACTTACATACACTGTGGAAAGATAATAGAAATGAGTACTAAGAGGAAAAAATACATTTTGCTTACATGAGAATCATCATATATTTGCAGAAATCAACAATAAAAGATATGTATAAAACTTTATCACTCTTTTTCTTTTTCTTTTTTCATTCCAGTTTACGAGTTCTCTTATGTTTAATATACTGACTACATAATAAGCAAATTAATCTTTCTTACCGTCCTGCCTTCCTGCATGCCTAATAGGATTTGGAATAATGCCGCTCGCTGTAAAGGCTGCCAGGGTGACAGAGCCATCATGATGCCCAGTGATCATAAGGTCACACACACCATGCAGTGGAGCCTCAAGCGCTGTTATGATGCTGCTGCTTGTCCATGATGCCAAAGTGCTACCTGCAATGAGACATGGCCTTACAATGCATCTTTCAACTAATTTCTTAAAAAGATGAAATACTGATATATCAACATTATTTAGATCATCGTTAAGACTCATAGACTGTGGAAAAGAAGTTCACACTTACTATTCAACGGCCATATATTGAGAACATTTTCAGAAGACGCGGCGATATGTCGTCCTGTGGGTAATGCCACCACATGTTCTATGGCAGGAGGATTGACTGAGTAGTTGCTGTCATTTTCATCCTGTTGGAACACTAATGTGTGTTCTTGGCAGGCATGAGAACGTTGACTCACCTTCCAAGTTCTTACCGAGCCATCATGTCCACTGCAAAAGGAATACATGTATGTGATATTTTTATAATCTTGAATATGTGACAATACTATAAAGCTGCCTGATGTACCCAACTGAAAAAAGGATTCCCATTATCCAAATACTAATGATATCAAGGAAAATGTTTTGAAAATGGAAAGTATTTGGATCAATCAAGCCCTGAAGATGCACAAAAGCAGAAAGGGCTTCAGCATATTCAGGAATTTTCCTATTCTTCCCTTCATTCTCTTATTTCCACTCAAGAACAAAAAAAAGACTTCCAATCAACAAAACTAATGATCTCAAAGCTAACAGTGAAAGTAAAGAAAATTCACATGATTAATCCAAAAGTCTAAATATCAAAAAACCTTTGATATTTAATCTCAAAAGAATTCAAAGGCCATTAACCTGGTAACAAGCAAGTTCTTTCCTGGCATCCACAGGGCCCTTGAAGCACATGCAGTATGCCCTTCTAGGTAAGAAGTTGGCACACGAGGCAGAGCTCCTGTGAAGTCTGCTGCGCTGCTGATATTTGGCCCCGGAAAATCACTACAATGTTCAGCCAGCTGTGCACGGCCTCCAATGCATTCAACCTAAAAAGAGCACAGTTATAGTAAAAATGTCTGGGGGGAGGAAGGGGGGAGAAGAGAGAGAGAGAGAGAGAGAGAGAGAGAGAGAGAGAGAGAGAGAGAGAGAGAGAGAGAGAGAGAGGAGAGAGAGAGAGAGAGAGAAGAGAGAGAGAGAGAGAGAGAGAGAAAATGACCACATAAAATTTTATTAAAAAATGAGACAAGAAGTCTCTTTTGATATTATGCCCCTTTCATAATAAAAGTTACAGAGACTTTACACACCACAATTTCTTCACTTAAACATATTGATACAACTCTAAAACCACCAGTTTGTCCGTAACTGACCAGCTGAGTTGCAGCCCACTGACGGTGCGAGTGTGGAAGCCGTGTGGACAGTATGCAAGCAGCAAGGGCATTAGCAAGTTGAATTCCTGGGTCTCCCTGTCCCCCACTTGCTGTCACTGGAGACGTTACAGCTTCTCCTACAGAGAGGATGAAATCTTTTGATAGAGTAACCACCCTTCATAGAGTATGACATATGAAGTCAACAACAAGCATCTATCCTCCTACGTCATTTACTATTCACAATGTATTACGAAATGAAGTATGAGGCAAAAATTGTTATATCATTGAGCATAGTTTATCTCGGCTATATACTTTCCTCTTTGGCAATTTCAAATACCCTGTATATCACACTGATCAACAAACTAGACAAATTAAAACATTCCAAATATCAAACCTTGAAAGAAAAAAAGCCTTAAGCTCCAACCATACCATAAGTAACTAATTTACAACCAAGAAAAACAAACAGTTCAAACTGACCTAAAATATCTTGTCTTTATCAACAAACATATGTCATAACCCATAAATATCTTACCTTTTCCGGCCAAATGAATAAGCGAGGAATTTGCTGCCAGGAGGGACACGAGTGCCTGCGTTACGGGAAAGCTTGTCTGGTGCATGGCAGAGGCATTCTGGCAGCCTCTCCGCTCCTCGCAAAGCGTCACATCAACATCTTCTTCTCCTGATCCTCCTACAATGTCTCCACTGGACATGCCCATGGCTGCTACCATCAAATGCTGGAAATCACAGGACAATTACGTTTTGCTAAACCATCTAAAAGATGAATCGCAAGAACTCCATTTCATATTATATATATCTATGCATATCTTGAAGAGAAAATATATATCTTTGTTCCTGGACATTTTCCAATTACATTTATATTTAGGTACAGTAATAAAAGATAATTAACTATTTGATGGGCTGGGCATATATGATTTCTGTAGCACTTGCTCAGATAAAGCTCAGATAAAACTATTCATACTTGACCTCAGCATTAAAGTCGCAGAGCCTTTGACAGTACCTGTGTACACAAATGTAGAAGCAGTTTGGCTGCATCTGTGTCGTTTTGGGCAAGAGCACCAATAGCGTCACTCAAGTGTGCGAGGCTTGTGGTGATGTCTGTTGGCTGTAGCACTGCACCGGTTGTCCGAGCAGATCCATCAAGTGGTACACGTCCTTCAAAAAAAAAGAAAAAAGAATAATAGTAATAATGATAACTATATCTCTTCTGAATTATGCTCCCATTCTGGATAAATCATTATATGTATATATATATATATATATATATATATATATATATATATATATATATATATATATATATATATATATATATATATATATATATATATATATATATATATATATATATATATATATATATATATATATATATATATATATATATATATATATATATATATATATATATATATATATATATATATATATATATAGTAGACAACATTAATACAATATAAGCACCAATTTCACTACTCTTACCTTGTGCAACCAACCACATCAATCGGACTAGAAGGCGAACATCACAGAGCCCAAGGGCATTGAGCCCAGCCCACAGATCACAAGACCCGCCACTCAAGGCAAGGAGAGACAGAGCTCGCATCACAACGGCACGAGCTATGGTGACCCTGAGGGCGTGTGTGGTGCGGCGGAGAGCTGAGATTCTTGCAATTGGGGAAGTGAGAGCAGCAGCCTGTTCTCCTAAGCTTCGATCAGGTACAGCGGTAATGTTGCTATCGCGCGGCCGAGCTCCTGAAGCTGTTTAGATAAATCCATTTAATTTGTGAAGATTTAAAAGGTAGCTTAAAAAAATAGATGTGTATGAACACATTACAAAGTTGTCTAGCAGTGACTGTAAAAGAGTAAAAGAAGACCAGAGGCAGGTGGTTGTGGGGGAAGAGGGACAAGAGGAGAAAGAGGAGGAGAGGAGGAGAGGAGGAGGAGGAAGAGGAGAGGAGGAGGAGAGGAGAGGAGGAGGAGGAGAGGAGGAGGAGGGAGGCAGGAGGAGGAGGAGGACAGGAGGAGGAGCAGGAGTAGGAGGAGGAAGAGGAGGAGGAGGAGGAGGAGGAGGAGGAGGAGGAGAGGAGGAGGAGGAGGAGGAGAGGAGGAGGAGGAGGAGGAGGAGGAGGAGGAGGAGGAGGAGGAGGAGGAGGAGGAGGAGGAAGGAGGAGGAGGAGGAGGAGAAAGAGGAGGAGAAGAAGGAGGAGGAGGAAAAGAATAACAAGACAAAATAACCAAGCTTTCACTAAAATTTACTGTCAACACATACTATTAGTGGCTTCAGGGGATTCGCCAATGTTTGACACGAGCGTGGTCGATCCGAGGGGGTCAGGGCGAGGGAATGGCATGGGGTCTGGTATGGGCCTTCTGTCCGTGAGACCAAGACGCGAAGCTATCACACTGTAATTTGTCATCTTCAGGTCAATCTCATTCATGCTGAGGCCGTCATCTGAAACAAAGAGATTTTGCCGTTAAAAATATTTCTGACTATATTTCTACAAGGGTTAAGTTGTCATAGCAGCATTTTCCTGGCATTTATGAAAAAAACAGTAATAAGAATAATCATATAATAATCTTGGTAATATCTTTAAGACCAGCAGAAACTCTAAAACAAACAAATCACTCACTATCTCACTCTCTCACTTACTCTCACTTACTCTCACTTACTCTCACTTACTCTCACTCTCACTCTCACTCTCACTCTCACTCTCACTCTCACTTACTCTCACTCTCACTTACTCTCACTCTCACTCTCTCACTCTCACTCTCTCACTCTCACTCTCACTCACTCCTCATTCTCATCTCACTCACTCTCACTCTCACTCTCACTCTCACTCTCACTCTCACTCACTCACTCTCTCACTCTCACTCTCTCACTCACTCTCTCACTCAACACTCTCACTCTCTCACTCTCACTCTCTCACTCTCACTCTCACTCACTCACTCTCTCACTCACTCACTCACTCACTCACTCACTCACTCACTCACTCACTCACTCACTCACTCACTCTCTCTTTGCAGAGTTTACCTTCCATGGTGGCAAGAGGAGCTGGGGCCAAGTCAGGGGCCAGGACAGTAGTCAAGTCCCGCAGCCGATCTTGACCATCCCCGGAGCCCCCAGAACCCCCAATGCTGCTGCTGCCGCCTGCATGCTGCTCCTGGCATACCTCACATAAGATGTACGTTCCACCTGGAGGAATAACAATCCAAAAAGTGTTGTAATTTTGCACATTCTTTGAAAATACTGATGCGGAAAATTGAGGGATTAAAATTAGTAAATGTTTTAATCTTTTTAGAACTATCGCTGTAATAGTATGACTTTGCTAGCTGTTGATTCTATTTCACTTCAATACAAGTATTCTTAATTCACCCAAGCAATATTGCCAACTGAAACTTTCCATACCAGAGAAATGAGGTGCCAAAACATCTTCAAAATCTCTATAATGATTTCACTCTTATCACAATCTTAGAGCATACAATGAAAGCAAATGTGAATACAGTAGAATAGAGAAAGAAAAAGAGAGAAAACAATGTAAATAAAAGGCATGCTGAGGTACATTAGAGCAACTAGCCAGAAATGACAATCTGGTAATCAAAATTCTGCTGGACTTCATTGCCTGGCAGAGGCACCTAATTTCTGAAACTGAAGTACAGGTAGAGGCAAATTATACTTGGTAGAAAAATAAAATGATACAATTTACTTACCAATAAGCGTACCACAAACACCTGCCATCCAGGGGCGGGCACAACCAGGGTGGGCAACTCGCATGTGTTGACGGAGGTTGCTTGTGGCATGGTGACAAACTTCACAGATGCTGAGAGTCCTGTCCCCATCGTTATTTGTTGCTACCTGCAAGATCAAAAATATGCATAATAATGATTCATCAGGAATGCTGTCAAATCTTCATGTACATGGTTTCTCCACCCACATCTTCCTTAAAACATTACTCATATTCTCACAAACTACCTATCAACATTAAGTAAACAACTCAATCATCTATTACTCTGAAGTTCCTGATGAATTTCACACTACAATTTTCCTCAACGAATTCTCTTAAAATGCCTTAGGTCTATTGCTAATATTTTAGTCCTCATTACAAATCAACTTCCAAACTGTTTTTGTGTACTTCTTTTTAATTGTATTAGTAATGCATTGTGTGTCACTTTTCAATGAATTTAAAAGTCTTATCTTGCCTCCATCAAAGCCCTCCATTCTCGATCCCTAGATGCAGATAAGGCAGAAGATCCCTGCATAGAGTCTGGCCCAACAGAGCCACACAACCATTGGTCTAAATCATTGGGCAAAGTTCCAATGGAGTCGTCTGACCCTCTCAGTTGGTCTTCGAACCCCACTCCTCCGTATCTGAAGCGTGTTGGCTCGCTGCGCCCGTGCTGCATTTGTCTTGAGCTCTCGGTGTCCCTGGTGTCTAATCCACGTCCTTCAAAAGAAAAGTTTGTCTTAACAAATTATTTTATTCATGCACTGGCAGTTTTTGTTATATTTAAGAAATTTGTAGTGCTGTTAGTAAGCTCCTTTCCTGATAAAAAAATCCTTTATGTTGGCTAATAATAACAGAAAAAACATGAATAAACTCTGGAAATTGCTGGTTACATGTGATGGGATCACAGATGTTCATTTTTGTGAATTACTTGGCAGTTCTCAGTAAAAAAATTTGTGTGCATGTAAGTGTGCATGATTACATGAGTCTGGCAGCCACTCCCAAAGCCACTGCCTACATGCTACATGACTTTCATCTGTGAGATACACTGTTATTCTGGTTACAGAGTGGGCTGAAAAAAAACATATGTTTTTGCATTTCTTTTCATCTAAACTCACACAGATTTTACAAACGCAAGTGTGGTGCTACCATAGTATTGATATGGCTATGAAAAAACAATCTTTTCCAGTACAAGATGTATAAAACATGTATCTGTGGGAATTACTAGGCTGTCCAAGGTTTATTTTATATATACATGAGAATGTTGATATAGGACTCATGCCTTTCATAACCATTGCCAGATTTTACTCTGCAGTCAACAGGTTAAAAAAGATGAGGCTTCCAGGTTATAATTCCTCTTTTTCTTTCCTTTTCTTTTTTTTTGACAAAAACTGTTAGGACTGAATCATATTTATTGTGACAAAAGTAGAAAAGGTATAAGTGAAAATTAATATAATACAAGAGATGTACTTAACCGTTTTCAAATATATCGTCAGAAATACAAACAAAGAATAATGCTGAGAGGTATCCCACCATAACATGATTAACCCCATGCCACTGTGTAAGTGGAATGTATTTCTGACAAAGATATATTTGAATCCGATTAAATATACATCTCTTGTATTGAGAAGATATTCATTCTCAATCATAACTTTTCTACAGTTGAAACTGTTTTCTGACAATGAAAATGCATACATCGTTTTCAAATATATCGTCAGAAATACAAACAAAGAATAATGCTGAGAGGTATCCCACCATAACATGATTAACCCCATGCCACTGTGTAAGTGGAATGTTCACTGTAGGTTTGTTTTGTGAAATGTCTTTACATAAAGGTGGCACCAAGGAGTCAGTGAGTAGACTAGCGACCTCACATGATGTCCATTTTCCTTGTGTTTTGGGAAATGTTTTCTTTAATGTTTGTTTTTTTGTTTTCTAATGCTATTAATATCAATGCTGTTATCACTATCATACTTAATATAATGCTAAAAACAATATTAATAAGAGTATGATCTAAAGAAGCATATTTATGAAAATCAAGGAAAAGGGTAAACAAGTGTGATAGGTAGGACTAGTAATTGACTCCTTGGTGACTATACACTTGGGGAGCTACATGTGTACAAACTGATAAGGATAGTATGTACATACATGCCATCTTTATCAGCAATGGGTTAAAAAATGAAACTTTCAAGACAAGGCTGCTTTAAAATTTTCCCTAAAAACAAATGATGCTCAATAGCCTTACCCGACGGTCTTGAAGGAACCACAGATGAACGGAGATCAACGCAGCCTCCTCTTCGGAGAATCATCCTCCTTCCGCTGAGATCCTGTATATCACTTCTTTCAATTAACTGGGAAAGAAATTGTATGGAAATATACTAACTAAAATGCAAAATAACACTGGAACTTCAAAGAATACTCTGGAACACTCATATTCTACCTTAAGCATAATCCCCTCACGTACACATGCAAGACTTCAGTGCCATTCTCTTTCAGCATGAGTAATAACTTACATACAGTAAACCTGCCATTTACAAAAGCTTACAGTAAAACCCATACAAAGCCACACTCTACCTGTGCAGCTGCAGCAGCAACAGAAGAGGATGAGGTGTCATCGTGAGAACGCCTCCTCTCACTGGTCTCACTGGCATCAATGCAGGGGTGCTCCAGCATCCATGTCACAAGCTGGTTGATTTGAGCTGCTGATGGTTCACCCTTGTGGCCTACGAAATGATAATAAGGTACATGAATATTAGCTTTTAGTATTCAAATTCAAATACCAAATTTCAAATCAGAGGTGCAAGGCACAAGCCTACTAAGCACGTTCCAAATCCTCACCTTGGGCAGCAATAGCTTTTTGAATGTGTTTGAGCGAAAATCCCATCTCCAGCAGCGGAGTGGCGATCGGGGGAGGCAAGGGAGGGAGGGGGGTCAGAGGAGGGAAGGAGAGAGTGACTCCTTGCCATGGGGGGAAGTGGGGCACTCTGGGGGGTCAGGGGGCCCACAGAACGACCCCTTGAAGGACTGTGGGTTGTGCGAGACGACTGGGAGGCAGAGTGTATAGAGTGCACTTCCCCTCCAGGATGACTAGCTGGAGCACAAGGTACTGTTATAGGCAGACCTAGGGAAGGAATTGGTCGTTTGGGGGCTCTCACATCTGTTCCTGTCGTAGGAAGTTCAGTGATGATACTCTGTGGCCTTTCTGTTGCCTCCACAATCTGGAAAAGATTTTAAAAATCCAAACCTGTACAAACCAATGAATTCTTAGATAAATGGTCCAAATAAGGCAAAACTTTACAGGGGAAAGTCCATATTCATAGAGAAACTTACTCACCTGATCTGTAACTCTTTCTTCATTTGCTGTCAGAGCCATGATGCGAGACTGGGTGTCAGCAACACTCAGGCTGTCCTCTGCCCAGGCTCTCATGCACATGCTATGAAGGACCAGGTGTGATCGCTCCACTTCAGCCACACTCACTTGCCTGGAAATTGAATCAGTTCCCATAAATCATGTCTGCAAAACTTCCTTTAATACAAACATTTAAAACATTATGGACTCATACTGAAATGCAAATTATATACATGAAGGAGCTCTGTGTTATCAATCCAAATCTTAATATTTGGACTCTTCATTCAAACACTGGATTTCTACATGTCCTTCTGCATCTGCATAATTCACTTGAGAACCACTTTTGACACAAGCAATTCCCATAATTCATTGGGAAATGTATTTTTCATAAGAAGGTATAAAGAACTGTGCTAAAACATAAAACAAAATGGAAGGAGGGTGGAAAATCCCAGTTCCTATTGATCTGGTGACTGAACAGAGTCCTATGAATATAAAGGGTTAGGATCATTCTGGCAGTGATACATTAACCTACAGCCCATATTCCTCTACATGAAGATACAAAATACAACTAATAACTCCTAATCGAAGTGAACTTCATGACTTACATAATACAGTATAAATGTCCTAAGCAAACTTAATTTTCCCAAAGATGGCATAAGCAAATATTATAAAAACTGGAAATGTTATATATCAAAAAAGAGGGGAAAGAAAAAGAGAAAACATACACCTTTATCATTCTTTGCATACATACCTCTTTAGTGGCTGTGCTAGAGTACAGGCAGAAACCAGATGTCGGACAAGAACTCTTATTGCTGTGCGGATTTCATCTTCCTCATGCAAAAGGGACACAGAACTACCCTTTTCACCACCATCCTGTTAAAAAAACATCATAATATAGATTTAATGATGCTATAACTGTCTCACATGTCTTTTCTACCATTCTTAATATATGAAAATAAACAATCAGTTAAATCAAACATGATAATAATCCATTTAATTATCAGTTCAGTGTGTACTATGCAAAAAATATATGTGGAATTAACTATACTACTAGCAAAAATATTTGAATTAAAATAACCTGATATTCCCTTAACTTGAGCATACAAACCTTCTCTTGTGCAGCCTTGGGAACCAGCAACATCTCTGCATAGCGTGTGCAGTTCATGATGGCACAAATGGCACGCAAACTGGCACTCTGGAGGAACGCCAAGCGCAGCGCCATTCCTTCCTCTACTGCCAACTCTCCTGTCTGGAAGAGTAAAGAATATATACAAATGAGACACAAGGTTTCAAAAGGAGCATGTCCTCTTTACCATATAGAAAACTTAAACATATTCAGTCAAAATCAACTCATCATCATCTAATGTCCCATGTCCACAAATCCATGACAGACAACTTCACCAAGACATACTAAATCGCAGGTATTTACATTAGTTACCTGAGGAGAATCTTTTTGTGTTGGTACTACCGGCTCTTGCTGCTCTGGGACTTCTACTGATCTCCCAGTTACCTCGTCCATAATGTTCGTAACAAGCTGGTCCGTCAACAGTTCCATTGTCAAGCCATCACCACTTCCCCTGCAACCAAACTCAATCAATATCTAGCAAAATTAACTGAGTTCAATATAACAAGCAGAAAAAAACATGAACAAGAATCATCAAGTTTCACCCAGTATGAGATGCAATTGGCTCATTTCAGTGATTTCTCTTCATCAGGATTACATTTGAGGAAGCCATGTCCGTGAAGCATATCAATTACTTTCCAAGCTTTAAGATGTTATTCTCAATCATACCTTCTCTATATGACTGTTCAAATCATGTGAGCTCATATCATTATGACCTTGCCAAAAGGAAATAATAATAATAAGACACAGAAGAGTATACAGAAAAAAAATATATTAAACACTTCAGTTCTCTGAATTCCAAGACTGCACTTCAGGAAAAAACCAACCTGGACCCTTTGCGAGGACTTGGCGAGTGTGACGGCCCGCTCGAGTTCACTGCATTTTGGGACTTAGCTTCTTCATGTGCTTGGGGAAGGTGTGGGGAGATCAGGCTGCCTGTAGATGAAGTGTGCACCTCATCTGTCTCATGGTTGTAGGTGACTTTTGGAAACTCAATCTGTGACAAGAGTAATGTAAGTCAATACATGCAGAAGTTCCTAATGCATAAAGAGGTTTAGGTTTCTACAGACATCGTTTCTTAAAACAGCATAGTACAAAATTGTTCTTAAAAAAACAACAATCCCTTAACCTTAAAAATACAGATACTAAATACTTCAAGAATAGTTACTATACATGTCTTGATTATTATAATATCACACAAACTTATTCTTCCAAAATTTAGTGACATCTGTATGTGAAAGAATGCAAAACTATGTCACTAACAAGCCTGTTATGAGGCAGCTTTACTACTTGATGAGACCTGTTAACACCTGATGTTGGTTGCCTTTACCCTTATTCATATTCCAAATGGCATCAAATAGTCAGGAAAAATATTTCTTGCCACTGTTTTCATAGCTTACAACACATAAGCCAAGCAATTCATATACAAAGGAAAATAAAAGTGGCAATACACAGACTGAACCATGAACTTTTCCATATGCTTGAAACCCAATCTCCAGCCATAGCTTCCAGCACTATGAACCAATTAACATCAAAAATAAAATTCCAAACACTGTATACACGTTAAAATTAGTAAATCTCAAATGTGCAATCATATGCATACCAGTAATAAAACAATTGAGCATTTGTAATTTTGAATTCCTTTTACTTTCAAAATGTAAAAGGATTTCTCATAAACCTTCAGTCACCAGGCTTAAGAATTCAAGTGAGCAAAACACATTCTTAAAAGCATTCGAAAAATAAGATAAAGGATCTTTCACAAACCTCTTGGGTAAGACCAGCCAGTCGCATGATCTGTGTAATGACCTGAGCTGTTATGCCAGTCATTTTTGAGACATCGAAAGGTGGTGGTTCCACTGGCTCCAAGAAAGATACTGGCACATCACTAATACTTGTATCCCAGTCACACCATTGTACCTAAAAATATCAAGAATAAAAATATATTTGTACATCTTAAAACTCTGTTCATTTTATACTGTCAAACCTTTCTATCAAAAAATCACTAACATTGTCATTCAAGACACCAACTCCAACTCCATACCTTCACAGCAGGATGCCCTTGACGCAGCGCACCCAGAACCATGGCCCTGCGACCTGTACCCTTCTGGACACATTGGCCCCCAACACGCAACCCGCTGTCCACTCCACCAATCATGGCAAGAGCAGGATAAACTTCTTTGCACAGCTGCTCAAGATTCATTTCATATACAAGATTCTGTTTGCAGGATTTCCCTTTCAGAGTCTTCTTCTCTTGACTGATGGAATCTGAGCCTGATCTGGGAGTTGCTCTTGGGGTGTTCCTATCGTCGTCGTCTGAGCAGGATCCCGTCTTTTTCTTTGTTCGTTCTTCTTGCTCCAGTCGTTCATCAAGAGTTAAAACAAGGTCTTCTCGAGAAGTTTCTCTTGATGTCTGAACCTCACTTGTGTTGACAAGTGGTTCAAAGTCAAAGGTTGGATCTTCAGTGTCTGACTCACTCTTTGAAACTGTTTCTACACTCTCAGGGACATCCTTTGGTTGGGGTATGAGCTCTTTGGTCTGGTTCAGTCTTTCTATTATGCAATCATTCACTTGCTGTGTCCAGATTGGAGCCTCGTGAAGTTGACGGAGCAGAGCAATGTGAGCCTCTGCCAGCACAGCTGCTTGAGGAGCACACAGAGGGTCTCCAGGATCTAGGTCTCTTGGGGAGCCTCTCACTTGCATGTCTACCATCTTCACCTTTTCTCCAGGATTGGTGCTGTAAAACATCACACATGGATATAGCTCCGTTGCATCAATGTTCTCGAAAGCAAGACGTGGTTCCTCCCCATTCTTTCCAAAGCTCAGAGTTCTGGCTTCCATATCAAGTACAACTGTAATGTAGTCTCCCTGTGTAAAGCTTGGAAGTGAAATGCTAAGTTCTCCATTATGGTAGAGGTTCCCAGAGTATGCCCTATACAGCCACATATCTGAAGATGTCCTATGGCTATAGTCTCGTACAGGGTACTTCGAAACTCCAACACAGGTACCTTCATTACCTCTGTTTTCCTTTACAATGAGGAATTTCCACTGGTAACATCCAGAAGTTATTGGTGTGGATCCTAGACCATATCCTCGTCCACCTGGCCCATGCACAAGTGTGTGACCTCCTTCTACAGAGCAACAGACAGACTTATCAGGATCAAATCCAACCTCTTGTACAGGTAGGTTATCATCAGGAGACTCTGGCCGAGACTGCTCATCAAGGAGATCTGGACTCGAGAGCCTTACCAGATGACGCTGTAGTTCCATGAGTAACTGGCTGGCCTTAAGATGTGCCTGAGCTGATGGTATCACCCACATGTTGGCTGCTAGTTGCATAAACAGCTGTCTTACTACTTGTTCACGTGCTTCAAGGTCAAGATCAGAATATGGAAGAGTTGCCCCAAGTAGAGTAAGTGCCAATACTCGTGTCCTGACACTGATCATCTGTGGTAGGTGTGTCTCTGCTTGCTCTCCTGTCACTAACAATAATAACCGCACCCAAGGATGCCTGCCAACTAGCTCTCTCACCCTTCGGTTTACACATAAACGACGAACAAACACAAGCAAGTTACCAAGGGTTACTTCTAAATGTCTACGTTTTCTTGCATCTCCTGTATTACTGCTCACTGGCTCTGCATTCAGTCCTGGAAGATGCAACTCTAACTTTCTTTGGCCAGCCTTCTTTTCTTTTACATTTGTTATTTCTACATCCATTTCATTTGTCTCAGATTCTTCTCTGTCCATTGGTGTTTCTTCTGATATCACCTCCACATTCTTTTTCTCTTCAGGAACTGCAGGTTCACAATGGCTGAAACTTGTCCATGAAGTTTCATTGGCTTTAATTATATGGTTTGCTAGATTTTCTACTTGCAGGTACAGCAGATTCATTACTTGGCCAAGCACTGATGTGCTGATATCCTCAGCATAATACCTATAACATAGAAAACATAATTTGAGTACTTCCATACTGTTCACTGCCATACTCAAATTATATCACTTCTCTTATTAAGACAAAACATTGCTTCATAATAATAAGCATAAAACAAACCAAGCACTTTCAACTCCCCAAAACTCAAATAACAATACTTTCCTAATATACATGGTATAGTGTTTTACAATAAAGAGTGCAACATAGAGCTTGTGCTTTCAACACTCACCCCGTTAAGATGGTAAGGATTTGGAAGAGCGTATGAGTAGCATGGGGCAGAAGATCAGAAGGCGATGGGTGTGGAGTATGTCGCAAAGCCGGAGGGTCATAGGGGCAGCACATCCGTACCAGGGCATCCAGAAGCCCACTAGAGACAGCTAGACTAAGATCTGCAGCCTCATATCGAACACTCAGGGCAAAGACTGTGAGCAGGCACAATCGTTCTCGGAGTCCTGGGTTGAAAGGATAAAATTTTAGTAATACCATCTACTAAATGAGAAACTTCATATAGTGGTCTCACAACTAATTTTATTTCTCCTTTATCACCTAATGTATAAAACTAGATTACACAATTACATATAAAAAACAAGGGATTACCCAAATTTCAGAATAAGATAGAGGATTACTAAATGAGATCTTTGCAACAATACAAAACACGCCAATCTCTATCACCTTTATCTGGCTGTTCATGCTGAAGGAGAGACGACACCAAATGCTTGTATATAATATGGACAGTCCTAGCTATTCTCTGCTGCATGGGTTGTGTGGCAGCCCTTATGCCGTCCAGGTAATGCGTGGCCTCTAGCGACCGAATCAGGGAATAGCTGCTGCTGCTCCATAGGCTCTCCAGGCCAAAGCACCCAGTCATGACCTCATGATAAACCTGCAAAGGATTTTCAAATCTGAGCTGAGTACCAATCTCATAATTTGAGTATTGCAAGCACTTTCATCTATGTTTTCACATGTCAGGCATGCAATATTCCAGATCAAAATGATAGTCCACATATATCTGGGTGTGGGTATGGGTCTGAGTGTTGGTGTGGGTGTGGTGTGAGAGTGAAGGAAGAGTGATGAGTGAGTGAGTTGAGAGAGTGAGAGTGAGAACAAGTGAGCATGAGAGAGAGTACGTCCGGGTATGGGTGTGTGCACGCATGTGTGCATTTCAATGACTGTGTGTATGGGCATAAATATATGCTCCACCAAAGTCTTCCTTACAGAAGGCAAGAGAGATCCACAAGTCTTTTCCAGAGAGGCATTCTGTCTGCCGTCCTCCTCACTCTTCTCGCCATCCTGGACTGGTGTCAGCAGACTCAGCATCAGTTCCAAGGCTTTCAAGCGAGACTGAAAAGTAAGAAGCAAAAGGTCCATTATCTGTCATAAAAGCTTTACTTATCCCCCTGTTCTTAGCCCACAAAAACTATCAAAATCATATGGTAGTAGAATAAAATAATCATAATACTGATATCTATTTAGGCAATTTCTTTATAACTAAATACCAGCTACCTGATTATGATTTGTGACAGTACTTCTCAAGCAACACCAACTTCACACACAGAATAGGATGTATATTATACAAGCTACAGCTCTTCACATTACAAAATTTCAGTTTTTTTCTACATATGTTTTAAAATATATATGTAATACAGCCAATTATCTAGATAAGTAACAAGTGGCACATTACCCCATACACCATATAAATAAACATCACTTAAATCTTTGCTAAATACAAAATTTGACGGCATCATAGTTCATCAGTTATGATATCTACAAAATTAACTTCGGCCCAACATCTGATCATGAATGCGAGACTTTAATGCACTTACTGTCTCCAAAAATCCATATGCTCTGAAAACAACAGCTCAGAGGGGTGAAGCATCATGTCTGACAAAAGAATAACTCAACAATTACTTGCACCATTCTCTTTCTTTTCATTTCTCTTTTCTAGCTCTCTTTCCTGCTGCCACATCCTGACCTCTCCAGAGAGCACCTACCTCTGCTCGGGCCTGCTGGATGGTCATAGACGCCAGCAGCACCTCTGGTCCTGGAGGAAGGGTGTGGGTGGTTTTAATGTGGGACAGCTGGTGGTCCTCGGCTCCAACAAACCTCAGCACTTCCACGCAACGTCCTAACACAATCCCAATCACCTCCTGGATGGATCTGTGGATCAGATATAAATTATCATATCTTAATTGAACAGTTAATAAAAGTATGATAAAAAAGGTAATTACCAATATATTTTGAACCTTTAAACATGTAGTCTTTTCATTATATTTCACGTGCTTTTCCTTTAACTACAGTGTCTTAATTTTCTCATGTGATAAAAGATATGACAGACTGAGGATTACACTAGGTTATTATGCAGCTAATGAGACTGACCAAAAATTACAAAAAATTGCTCAATCATAATCAAATAATAAATCAAGTCTGCTCATATCACCACAGATTAAGTGATAAATCAGTCTGAATACAGTTTCCAACACAATACAACAAGCATACAAAGAAAACCTACAATTCTATCGGTGCTTGGTTGAAGAGCTTCGCAGGCTGCACACACATCATCAGAACAAGACACTGGGTAATTATGTGTATATTAGCAGCTTCGTAACTCACACCTTCCTCCACAGGATCCTGACCACTTTCATCTGCATCTGTTGTAAGGGTGGAATAAACACAGTGACTTTTATATCAAACACCCTTAAATACTATGAATAAAAGTGAGATCAGATAAATACACTGTACATAACTCTCTTTCACATAATATCAGATGAAGCATGTATTACCTACCATGAATATTCTAAATTTTCTGAGCAGTTATAAAGAATCTACACACCTTGGTCTTCAAAAGGTCCCTGAGTGATCAGACGAGCTCACGTACTGGTCTTCCTCCTGGTCTTCTGTTGACCCTGAAGATTATTGAGGAGAGAATTAGCAAAAATCAAATATGGAATTTTCTTATAAATGACCATCAGACAACAATTTACTATCAACATTTATGAACAATCAATATTTCAAAGACTATCAACTACTCACCTGGTTCATGGTTTAGGGACACCCTCAGAGACAGCATCTGCTCAACCAATTCCACACGAGCACGTTCTTCATCCTGCGCAGACTCTGATCCGTCTTGCGATCGCTCGTGAACTTCAGCTGCGATAAAAATATTTGTTTAGGGGAGCGTGATCGTGTACAAGAAGTAATAATCATAATCATTTAGTTTCATCTGCCTTATTGGAAACAGTATCTTAAAAAAATAATAATACAATTCATGAGCTCTCTGTCAAAAGTAAATGATGTAATAAAAATATACGTTACTTTTTCTGTTGCCTGATACATATTTTAAGAGAAAGTATACAAAAAAAAAATCAATATGAATTCCATGAGCTGTTCACTAAAATGCTGAATTATCATTTCAAATTAGGATGGAGTTGGATTTAGAATGGTAATAATAAAAATATGTCAAACAGATACAAAAGATGATTGGATACAAAAACAAAGTGCAAACAATCATAAATTACAGTAACAAAAGTACATAAAAATCTCCATAAGGGACGGTGGAGAGGTACAAGGGAAGACACTCGGAGTTGCATTTGTCCTCTCACGTGGACTGCCCAGTTTGTATAGATCCTACATGTCATTCTAACAACTCTGGCGTAAAACTGAATCTGAAAATGACCGTAACTTATCAAAGACTAGTGCAATAAAAAAATAAATGATTTTGTGTTGTATAACAATAATCTTGATGCCAAATATGAATTCAATCCAGAAATCCTTTCACGAGTCATTAACGTAAAGCCATTATCTTTTTGCACTAGAATCAGTGGCATGGGTTGTAATTAGACAATTTTTTTCGTAAGTCCTGACGGTCTAGTGGTTAGTCCCCGTTCTCTCCGACTGTTATTTAGAGTGAGTGGGTTCCAATCCTTGTCTAGGAAGGTTGTTATACAAAAAGGGAAGGAGAAACATTATAGGACAAGGAGGTAGAGTTGGCCTTCAATACCATATATATGTAAACCAGTTACTTCCACTAGAATTGATCTTAGGCATGAGTGTCTCAGTGTAGAAGTTAATAAAGGGTATATTAAGCTGAAACAGACTAAAGAATAACCATTGGTAAATCTATGAGAATAAGTACATTCTTTTTTCTTTTATGGTACATAAATGATGTTATATAAACACAACCAAATGAGCAAATCACAAACCAAAGCATAATAAAGATGGGTTATTGACATCAATCACATTCTTTTCACTCTTGTAGAATGAAAAAAATAATAATTCAGAGTACATACACATAAGCAAATGAAAAAAGGAAAACTCAAGCGGAAAGTATGGCTACAAAAATCTAAAATGTTTGATCTTTGTGAACAAACTAAACCAAAAAATGAATGAATTCGTAATTCACTTCATATACAAAAATTTGGAGTAACCCTGCAAGACTCGTAGACAAAGATACAGATAGAGTATGAAAACTAGAAAAATTTATTTGTGACTAAATTTCCTCGTTTAATTGCGAGTGAGGCTATGCAGAAGAGTTTACGGTATTAATTTCTGTAAACAGCTTCAGGCTTCAAGCTCCTATATATCCGGTCTCTAAACAATGCTTGTGCATCTGTGTGGGTGTGTATGTGTTGCTGTGGGTGTGGGTGTGTGGGTGTGCATGTGTGCGCGTGCCTGTGCGTGTGAATATGTATGTAAATGTGCCTGTGCGTTTGCATGTGCATGTTCGTGTGTGCATGTGCATGTTCGTGTGTGCATGTGCATGTGCGTGTGTGCATGTGAGTGCATGTCTTGTCTGTGAATATGTATAGTGTGCTTATGTATGTCAAATAATGAAATATGTGTATAAGCAAGATCACATGGAGTTAAGTGTCTTAAGTAAGGGAGCACGGGAGTATGCATCAAAGATGCATGGGATTCCCATGAAAGGTTAAACAGGAATTTCAGGCAGGTTTAGTCATATATTTGATGAATAAAAGTTGCTATATCCAACTAAGCATATCATTTTGATGCAAGAACACTTTCATATCACAGTAATTTCAACCTCAATTCAAGTACCGGATTCTTACAGCAAAAATCCTGATTTGTTTTCTTTTTTCTTTCATTCTGCTTCAATAATAAATATATGAGAGATCATGAGAGATCATTAAATCATTAAAAATTATACCAGCACAAAGTCTAGTAACAACTCCTTTTTGTAGTCTCTCTCATAGACCATAGAGTGGAGGCTAATGAAAAATTACAAAATGTCTCTTATCAAAGAAAGTTTTTAGCAAAACATTAATGCAAAATTCACAGCAATATAATTCTCTTTCTTTTCAGAACAGTCTAAAACAAAACAGTAGAATTGTTTCTTTTTATAAAATCTCAGATTCAATAGAGACAGAAGCACAAAACTTTTACCTAATGGTTGCAGTACCATTGCCCTAATGGAACTACCTAGGTTCCCTTCAGTATACAAAGAAACTGACTAAGGTTGGTGAGGCCACTTACATTTTTGACTTACTGCATTTAATGTATATTTTTCAACAGAAGGTAAGATTGAAGGTCATTTGCAAGAGGGAGTTTCTATTCTGCAGAGCTTCAATCACACCACTTTAACACTAATGACGAATGATGCAGAAATTCAATGGTCCAGAGTACCTGTATCATGAGCTTTTCAGCATTTTTAAATATCAAAGGAAAAAATCAATCACAAGTTGTTTTCCACACTCAACAATACTTATTTAGATTCGGGTAACCCGGTATGTCGTAATTGATGGTTCGGGTAACTTTGTCTGTGAGAAAGATAATAAAAAAAGTATAAAATTTTATTGTATTCTCTTTTTTAGATAGACACCCAAGGACAAAATATCATTTTTCAAAATCCTTATATATTTTTCCCATTCTTGAAAGAACACACTATTTCAAAAATTACTTGCTACATTCATAATGAATGAATCAAACAAACTTGCCTGGACATAAATTTTCCACAGCAAGACCACTGCAGAAGAGCTGTGTGGAGAGCCAAGGTTTACAACGGACTTCATTGGGTGTTAATGGCGGACCGAGCAGCATCCCTTCTAAGCAGCGACCAACCACAAGTCCACAAGCTCGTTCTACGTCCAACAGCCAGGCCCACTGACGACAACCACCACCAACACTGGTGGTCAACTTCTTTAAAGCATTATGTAAATGCTTTTATTTTTATACTCTTTGTTAAAGTGAGGAGTGTAAGATGAGATTAATCTACATCTCATTTCTCAAAAAAAATATACATATACTATTGCTCCATTTATATGCATTAACTATTAGATCCTATGATATCCCCACAAGTATTATGGCAGCAAACCACAGTTCCCCATGAATTGATCTAGTCAGTGCCTTCTGCAACAGAGCAGTCACATTTTCATGATATTTTTGGTCTTTATCATAATAACCTTATCATTAACTATTTCAGAGAAAAGTTGACCCATTAAAACTTCCAAATATATCATGTACTGTGTTTTCATAGTCAACAACCAGGATACCTCCTCTCCCTAGATCATCACACAGTAGTTACTTGTACAACCATTCAAAGATTATAACAAATAGGAAGTAAGTTGTAGTTTCAAATACAGCCTAAAGAAAAACAATGCACTTTGGGATTTCTGTAATCGCTAATAACAACGAAAAGAGTTTGGGTGTCATCAAGACTGGTTATTCTTAGTATGAGGCCAGCAACCATGCTTTTTGCTCTCTTGCATTTTTCTCTTTCTGAGACAAACTCTCTGTACATAAGTTAAATAAATTAGTTTCAAACTAGGTTCAACCAATCTTATGCTGGCAAAGATGGATTCTGTAACAAGACTACCAAGAAAGAGTCAATTAGGGATAACGACGAATAGTATGATCAGACAATATTATATAATCAAAAGGCAGAAAGCAGGTCTCAACCAACCCACTGTACTTATAGCTATATCTATTTATCAATTCTTTTGTCTTTTTATCCACAATCTAATCTTTATCCACTAATTTTCCCCTCTGAATAACTGTAATAATCATAACAACTAGTATAACAATCCTTGATCTCAAACTATATGATTTAACATTTCATACAAAACAAAAAACACACCTGAGGTTACATCTTCTTGGTCCGTGAAAGAAGTGACCGAGGCTATAGTGCGGTTTGTTGAGTCCAGGATGGGGAGAATGGCTCTCAGGGGGCCAAGCAAAGGACGAACCAGCCTGGCCGGAAACAGCAGAAGAGCATACACAATGTGGGCCATGACCCAGCCACACACACTCCGGTAGACAACATCTGCAAAACACAATTCCTTGTTTATGCATGACAAGAAAATGCACCTTTTACCCTACAGACAGAGACATGAAATGAGAAAAACACATTAGAAATACAGTATTGGATCAATGGTAAGTGTGACAAGGCCAGCAGCAATAAAGAGAGAAATTTCATGATCATTCAATGAATACACTTAAAATACTACTACCCAAATGTCCACAGAAAGACTCACCATGAATAAGATGAGCAAACCCTGGGTGTGAGGCTAGCAGCTTGGATGTTTGTTTTAGCAGCTCACCACATACTTCCAAGAGTTCACTCAGATGGTCATATAAGAGATGCATGCTCGCTGACTTCTGACAACAAAGCTTCGTTTTAATATGAAAGAGAAAGAGTGGCAACAGGGCTCTGTTATTTTTCTCCTAAACTAAATTGGAAATATGACTGCTTTCATTCAATACTTAATTATGCCTATAACAAATGGGAAATGATCTTCAAAGCACTTCTTTTCATCACTGGTTGCTCAGTAAAATATAAATCAATGAACAGATAAATAAACAAATCATTTATAAAAGACTATAACAACATAAATGAGATTGAAATCACTGAGAAAAATAACTACTCTTCTCTGGTTTGCAAACATGAAATCTAGTATTCCTTGTGACATGCAATGACAAAGAACAAAATGTCCTGAAAACAGTTCTTTTTAAACTATTTACAGATACTCACCTCTTCGAACTGATGGTGAGTACAGTAAGCCAGTAGGTGTGAATGAAGCGTGGATAAAAGGCGAAGCAGATGTTGAGGATGAGTACCCCCAAGCTGCGAGTCTATGTACTGATGTCTTGTTTCGTAGCTGCTCGGCCCCATTTTGTCCTTGCCATAATCCTGAATGGCTGGAATTGTCAACAGATTCCAGAATTAAGTATAATCAATCCTCTTCTTTCTATATATAAAATAAGTTAATCAATCTATGAAATTACCTGTGTATATATGTATCAGCGTGTCAGCGTCTGTTTGTTTAACCCAATGGTCATGGATGGTATGACATAAAGCCATGTTGACTATAATTTCAGTTTATTAATCAATGTTCCAACACAGATGGCTCCACAAGTACCTAGTCACCAAGGAGTCAACCATTAGCTCTACGTATCTCACATGCTTTTTTCTTAAGAAAGAATGTTTTTCATTGTTATTGGTACTTTAATAATCATAATTTCAATAATAATAACAATAAGGGTATCAATATTAACCCATTCGTCCCGGGTGTCACAGTATTAAAAAAAAAAAAAAACTTTTTTCAAAAAAAATCAAGGAATGGGAAATCAGGTGCAGTGACTAATTAACTCCTAGGTGGCTGAGCGTATGGCTATATCTGTGTGCAATAAAGTTCACAAAAAATCTACAGTGGACAGTACTTTAAGCGAAGAACAGTGGGTTAAATACGTCTGCCTCTATGTCATTGTGTGTACAGATCTACAGTTTTGTATGTCAGTACGGTTATGTGCTTGTTGGCTGATTGCCTGTAGGCACAAGTCTTTTCTTGTATAACACAGTGATAAGTACATCTGAGAGAGACAATTGCTCAGTTACCAACTCACCAATGGTCGGTAACTTTTGTTGTCCTTGCTGCATCCCAGGCGAGCCCTCTTGACATACAGCCTGAGGCTCTTGTACCGAGGCAACTTGTGGTCCCTTCACTTCCACATCATAGCTGGCTTGTTGGGTTGCCGGTTGGCAAACATGACGGGTGTCTTTCAGGAGGCCACTTTTGGCTGGCTTTTCTTCTTCAAGGATTTGATTTAACTGGTGTTCCTATGGATGCAAATGATTATATACAAGTTACCAAGACAACACACCATTAACAACTTATTACATGTGTATTTAATATATATATATATAATATATATAATATATATATATATATATATATATATATATATATATATATATATACTATAAAGATAGACAGAGAGATAGATAACAGATATAATAATAGGCTTCAATCACAAGAATGATCATAATCATATCATATCTAACAGCAATAATGGTAAAAAGGAACTAGCAATTTCTTTATCAACTGAAAATCACACTTCCATAATAATTGGTCTTACATACTTCTAAGATGATTTAAAAGTATACACATGGAATTATGCTAACCATAAAATACTGATTTAGAACAACAGACCAAATCATACTCACTGCATGGAATCTCAGATTTGCCAACAGCGTGTGCATGAGGTCTTGGGGCAGTGTAGCAGAGGAGCCATGTTGCATAGAAGGGGCATCCTCAGGGGACCCATAACCCAGCAGTGCAGCTACATGGCTGTGGTCCTCGAGACTCACAACCAGAATTCCTAGTTGCAGACGCTATAGGGAAGTTGGGAACCAAATTATATTCATAATTCTAAGTTGCAGATGCTCTATTAAAGATAAGAATCAAGTGACATTTATTATGATTCCAGGTTGAAGCTACTACAGGAGAGTTTGCACCTAATCATATTACAATTTCCAAAATGTAGATTAATTAGAAGGATCAAAACATGAATTATCTTTGTCTACCATCAGATCATGTAAAAAAAATATATATATATATATATATATATATTATATATATATATATATAATAATATTCTAAAACAATAAACAGATGCAAAAAAATCTCCAACAAAAAAAGAAAAACTGTTTAACATTCACCTGGCCACGAGAGAGCTGCCCCCAGTCTTCCGGTGACTTCGGGAGGAGATTATAGAGGAGGCTCATACGAGAGGCTAAAGGCGGCAGGAGGAGTGGCGAGCTAAGTCCTTCACACACACCTGCCTCTATTGCCCGGGGTAACTTCGCATCTACTAATCTATTGGAAAAAGATTTTACAAATTATCACAAGTCTTTTTGCAGATTTAATGAGATTCCGTTAGTTCTCTCTGTCATATAAGAAAAGGTATATTCAAATCTGAAAATTGTCAAATAAAATATTCACAAAGTAAGTTATAATGAATAGTGAATCATGAAGAAGTTTCCCAACGAATTGTATGTAAGTGCCTTTACCACAGCTGATCTTAATTTTGTTCCTTCTCAATATTTCACAAAGAACATCTGCCACAGCCCACCTGAAGAGCAGCTGCCGAAGAGGTGCTGCTTCTGATCCTAGAACCGTCTGTGTCATGCCCCCAGTCAGAGCTAGTGACAGGTGTGTGTTGAGCAGCTGTAAACACAGGAGCACAAATTTCTCTTGCTCTCTGTAAAGTAAGGTATATCTTAATCTTACCTGGTATAAAAATAAGTAGTTGTATTCCTTAACAACAAGTGGAAATAATTACTGATGCAAGATATTGTGCTCTATGGAATATCTCTACAATCGCAGGAAGGAAACATGAACATAAAATCCTGCTAACTTGCCTGACAGAAGCAAATGGCTTTACAGGCTGTTCAGTATCGTCAAAGCAGCAGTAGAGCTCAATGAATGTACGTAGCAGAGAAAACGTTCCTTCCTGCAGGTCAACGCAGAATGGCCGGTGCCAGGATACCACTCGTCTGAAACAAAAACATTTTCATTACAAAGAAAATCTTAACAATTCTAAAAAATAAACATATACAAACTATTACCAAAATCTACTTCAGCTCAGCAAGTTCCACTTTCTTCATTAATAATCAATCTGTCCCTTATTACATATTTCCAAAGCATCCTATATTTCTCATCCATTGACTAAATATATATATTCATATGAATATCTGGACCACAGACCATAGTGCGACATTCTTTGCACTGTCACTCCACCACATTACCGATCAGTTGGTATGGCTGTCCATGCCATAGAATGCGTGGTTCCTGCACTGATCTGATGCACGGCAACATCTAACCCCATCACTTTCTTTGGCCTCGTAATGGGTGATACTGTGTGTCCCTGGCCACACTGACCCATTGTGTTTGATCCCCAGGCATAAACCTGAAAGAAGGCCATTCATTCTGATTATTACATTTACACTTGCATTACTGGACATCTTATCTGAGTACCAGCTCTTAATATTTCATCAAACGGAATACCAGTGATTTTGAACTTTATCCTTATTAACCATACAATATTTTTACTCAATAAAAAAGGAAGACTCCTCTCACCTCGCCTTCATGGGTTAGTGCAAGAGCGTGTGAATCTCCCGCAGAGATGTCGACAATCCTCAGTCCTGCCAGCTCCTCAATGGGACGAGGCCTGAGCATGGTCGCGTCAGACGATCCCAGGGCCAGACATGCGCCTGACCCCCATACCCATACCTGAAAATGTGTGTTGTCACCTCCCTGGACCTGTTCCATGGGTCACACAAGGCAGAAAAACATCAGCAGGGCAGCAAGAGGCACAAGGGTGATTGATTACAGCTTTTTACACTTCTAAAATCGTATTTACACAAGGGATATGTGATATTAAAATTATTGTGGACAAATAATAAAACAAGTGTGACAACAGGGCACTACCAAAGACAATGATTTTTCTACATAAAATTTTTCTTGCTTCCTAATATTTACACATATTTTGTAAACTTCAATGCAAAAAAAATAATACATAAGCTAATCTTCCTAAAGAATTTAGTCTATAAAAAGATACCGATTCAAAAACGAATTTTGTTACAAGACAATACGATAAAAAGTACTAATTACCTGCTCAAATGGCTCAATGCAAGGACTGTTCAGTTAATGTTAGGAATTCTACTAAAACCATAAGACTCATACAGATATTTGGGAGATTAATACTCAGTTTAACCTAGAAAAAAACAATCATTGAATATGGCAAGTGTCCTTTTTGTCTATTACTAATCATGCATAACAAATCAAACAATGAGTACACAGCTTTTGGGATTTAAAAAGAACTGTTAAATTATAAGTAGAAAAACAAATAATCCACAACATTTAATATCAAAACTTAATAGATAAAAAAAATATTATCCCATGAAGCTGCATGATGAATGCATGCAAGCAAAAATTAACATAAAAATATATATGGTTTGTCAGTCTTGTCACTGTACAGTCTCTAATCTGTTAGTCATCAATATCCTGAAGCCTTTAAATCTATGAAAAAGTCAAGTCGTCACACAGTTAATTATATACACAATCGATACCTTTCTCCTACTTTGATATACACAGATCTACAAAGTGTGCAAGTGTGTGTATGTGCATGTGTGTCTGTGTGTGTGCACATGCATATGCACATGTGTTTGGGCCTGAGTATGAATATAAATACTGTATACATGTGCAGATGTGGAGTGCCTTGTTTTCTGCTTATTGCTTATCACCACATTACATAGTGGTTTCTCATTCTAAATCCCATGCATTACACAGTCCATCTTTAACACCTGATGCTTCACCTCTGATAATAAAACTTAGGGTGCGCACACACAGAGTGCAGGTTCCAACACTCATACCATGAATTAATCCATACAAACAAACATATGTACACCTCAGAAGTGGGTTCAAGCTGACTTGTTCATCATTTTCTTTGGATAATTCCTGTCTGCTCAGTCCATATGGGTAAACATGGAGAAGGTACAGACAAGAGTTGAGATCCTGATTTCTACTGTATTTCAAAATACCCCCACGGTGGGAGAGGAGGAATGAAATGTATGCTTGCAAAAACATTATAATAAACATTCACCACACTGCATACTCTTGTAACATTGTCATGTACTGTCTTTTTTTCTTTACATTCTATTCTCAAGCAAAATTGAATTCATTATCAGACAATGAGCATGGCTTCTACACTTGGTGGGTTATAACGTACAGCTCTTTCAGAAACCTCGTCTCTAGCCTCGGTGTCAGTGGCTCGCACTTGGGCAACCTACTTTCTTTGTGTGCACCCCTAAAATAACAATACAAAATACACACACACACCCTCTTCAAAAAAAATATCAGGCAGTTGTTGTGTGTCTATCACCTTTCTACATCTCGCAAAGTTTTCTTTAAGGGACAGCAGCATACAATAACCACTACTAAAAAGGTCTAACCTATCACCTGCAATACTGGCTCTTCTTCTTTCATATTCTATTTGGTGCACAAGCTATGTCTTCAAATCCTTCAGACATATCAGTGATAATGTCTCTTTCATCAGGACTACACAAATACAAGTGTCATAGTATATTTGCTATGCCCAAAGTACAAAAAAAAAATCAGTTTCCAGCAAAAGGTTCTCTAGCTTCAATTTTTTTCTTGTTTGTTATTTCAACTTGAAAAAAAAAGTACTTAGTCCCTAAGGAGTCAGTTATTAGTCCTACCTATCTCCTGTTTATTCTCTTCCTTTATATTTGGAAACATTCTTCTTTAACTTTTATTGCAATTAGTACCTTCATGATGTAATAATAATATAAACAATAATAACAGTATCAATTTTAACAGCATCAGAAAATATCAACGAATTGGGAAATCAGGTGAAGTCACATTGGGCTACTGACTGACTCCATGGTGATCAAGCACTTGTAGAGTCATCTGTGCGTGTGACTAAATTCACAGTGAACAGTATATATACCAGCATACAAGGGCTTAACAGACACTCCTTTAAATCCCTTCGTAAATATATAATCCTCCATTCATTTTTTCCATGAATGTTTCACTACTTGTCATTTTTAAGTTCCTATCAACTCTATTACATATGCTTAAACATCAAACTAATAAAAATACACCTAGAGTTTAGTTTTATGACTGTTACTGTACATATAACTTCATACTTTGAGTAGAAATCCATTAGTTATTGTCAGTACGTCAAAAAATCTACTATACACCTTTGCTTAAAATTCACATAAAAAATAACTGAAAGATGTACGCAAAGATGGAATTTTCTCACTACATACCGGTCTTTAGCCTCACATTCACTTCTATCAAATGCCTTTTGAATTAACCATGTTATGTAATCCACACATATTGTTTACCCAACACATATATTTATGTAAAAATCTTAAATCTCCAATTTTGTTCATATATGCTTATGTGTTATTATATATGTTAGTGAGTCATTCATTCATGCATTTCAATTCTAACCAAACAGTAGTCCAATTCAGACCAGCAAATTACTACACTAAGGCCATAAAATACCCTTGATTACTCCATAAAATGGTACTGAGGTTATGTCACTTTACAGTAAAAAAAAAAAAAAAAAAAAAAAACTATTACCATGCTTAATAAACTCATCAGTGATAAAAAGCTTATCATCTTTACTCTAGCAAGCAGTAGAGTAAATATGGTGTTAAATAATTACAAAACCCTCATTAGTGGGGAAAAAGAAACTAATAAATCAATAAATCTACTCCATCAACTTAAAAAGCTAATCAGTTCTATAAACACTACCAAGAAAAGTACCCTCATTAAATATTCCAAAAAACGCCACAGAGGAAAACCAAGTACATAGAGGTGTGTTAAACCGAGAAAGGAAAATGGGAGAAAGCTTGCCAACAGTAGTTACTGACAAGCGGTGGGTGGTTGGAGGAGAGGAGTGAAAGGTGGGAATTCTGGATGCGAAGCTAATGTCCCTGCCTTCCATACTGCTGATGTTTGTCTCCAAGCTGAGAGGCCTATCTCCAGCCTCTGACAAATACTGCTGCTTATAGTTACCAATCACACATTAGAGTGCTATATCAGTCAATTTATCCATCACTCAACCAATTCATTAGGCAATCAATACATGTATAAAGAGAGCTAGATAGATAAGCAAAAGGCTATTTCTTTGTTATGTAAACATATAATGCTTATTTTAGTTTCAATTTTGTGTGAAAATGAACAATAGACACAACTCCCAGGTAACACTTATCAGGTTCATATATAATCATCCATATTCAAAAGGGCTGAAAGTTTCTGAAAAGAGATGAAGTAAATACATTTCACAACCAAGTTTCATCCAAACCCAACAGGTTGCTTCTGGTAACATTATTCACTTGGTGTGCCCAAATATCAGCAAAAACAATCTATAAAGCAGAGATATAATCAAAGAAATGTGCTCTAGCACCCAAGTCAAAAGTACAGTCACAGACAAAACTCTTGTAAAGCTCTTTTCAAATTGTCTCAACAGTCAAATATGATGCCTGTTGGTTTGGGTTTCAAAGCTTATTTCATGGTATGACTTTTGTCCTAGACTGTACATACACACTACAATAATGACTGCTGTACAGCTTCGGTGACAAACTCTGTACGCACCTTATAAAATCCCCACTGAAAACAAGAGGAAAGAAAAACAGCATGACACCTTTCTTCCTTTGAACAGTAACAGCTTATCCTTTCTGCTTTTGCCTCCTTGGCTGGCAAATAAGCTTCCTCTGCCTTAAGTTTTGGTTTTCTTATTTTCAAAAGATTAGTCTTCTCAGCACAAGTATCCTACTGAAAAGTCATGCTCTATAAATAAAATGATAACAAGTGTTTACAGTATTTCTCTCAAAGGAAAAAATTAGAGTTGATCATTGTGACAGACGTAGAAAAGATATGAATGAGAATGGAAACATTTACAAAACTAAAGATATAAATTTTGGTGGTAAGTCTTCACCAGAATTACACATCATTCCAATGAAGATGTAAAATCAGAACTTTAAGAACACATAACACTCAAAATCATCAATTACACATCTTGTATTGGCAAGTCACTCATTCTCATTCACATTTTTTTGACACTACAGTTGCTGGTTATATATATGCAACCAATCAGCAGCCAATTCAATTATGAATTCATATGACACCCTCTTAAACAGCAAACTCCAATAATGAAATTGTTTAAATATAAAAGATTTTCTATAGTTAGCACAACTGCTTTTTCACATCTTTCCACTATGGCTGCAACTTTGATAAACAATGTAGTGGAAGCATACCAAAAAGAGTACTATTACTTTACACATCCACTGGAACATTACAGCAGATTCATCAAGTAAGATATATGTATACGTTAAACACCAGGTACCTTTATACCCAATGCAGTAAGATATATGTATACGTTAAACACCAGGTACCTTTATACCCAATGTACCAAGGATGGCACATTCATGCATGCCACACCCACTGTGGGTCTAGTTTATCAATTGGATTCATACATAGATAGCTCCACAAACAGGGGTGTACATTCAATTTTTTTTTTTTTGGAGGGGGTGTAAGAATATTATGGAGCAACTATAAAGAGACAGACATTTTTTGGACCAACTAATTACATAACAAATGTACATGAACAAAGGAGTCCATATTCAACTGAACAATTCTTTTTATCTTGAACTTAAACAATAACAACACACAGCATCCAACTTTTAATATTTCTGAAAATTGAGGAAAGGGGCAAACAAGTTAGACTGGTTGTACTAGTAATAGCTCATTGGTGACAAAGTACCTGTGGAGCCATCTATGTGTTAAGACAATTAATGAGCTAAACTCAGGATGGGCATGACATGTACTTGCACATCATCCCCGACGGCGTCATGTTAAACACGTTTGGCAATTTCAACACTTCCACCCAATGTCATGATGGTATCTCTTTTCTCCAAGGCTAGAACACCAAAATTGCCACTGATGCAGTCACATGGTGCCAAGAGATAAGTATAAATAAATAAATTGATAAATAAATAAACATGTTTTCCTGATCAGTAGTTACATGAAAGATTTAAATGATCACACTTAGCATAATGCCACTCTGAAATTCAAAATACCATCAGAGTTACAAAGCACTTACTCAGTTAGTAGCATGCTACTAGAAGAGCTTCATTTTTCTGTTTGTTTACTGCTGTTATCATGGCATATGTCTGTTATTACATTTACACACACAAACACAAAGCAGCTTCCCTTTAGCCTCTAAAAATCAACTATCAGTTTTTTTTTTGTTTTTTTTTTAAGGAAACATGCTTCAGCAATAGAATAAATCTGGCAGACACAGGAAATTCTGCGCATTCCCTTTGATGCTAAACCAAAGCCATTAGTTTAGCTGCTGAACATAAGCCTGAGTGTCTTTCCAGTGGACCATAGGAAGCAATAGAAAAGCAATTATCAACAAAAAAATAACAAGGAATAGTGTGCCATTAGCCTTTTCACCTCCTAACATTTTCACTCCTATTCCATAAGAGTGACTTTGTGTTCTATCACATAAAATGTATGAAACAAAATAACCATATAAACAAAATCAAGTGAGGGTTGCTTTACTTAGCCTTGATTAAGCCACTACACTCTTATAATGCGGAGGTGAAAGAAAATACACTCTGCTTCAAATGCAAGAGGAATGACAGGTATTTTCCTGAGTGATATGAATGATCCATGAATATTCATTCAAAGATTATCTGTATTTTCAATGGTGCTGCCAACAACAACAAAATAAAACTGTGATTGCCATAAGCACAAATTTCTTGGGTCTTCTTGCCTAGCATCAATATAGCTAATACATTACAAGCACACTCATATATTCTTGAAGAGTCTGCAGCGGCCATGAAAATTAAACTGAAGACTAAAGGGTTAAGCAAAGAGCACAAATGGTAATGTCATAATGGATGCACAGCAACGGTTCCAACATTCGAATATGCATCTTTTTAGTTCTACCACACTAACAATGCACACAACTGACCAGTCCCTTTTGGCTAAAAGCATAAGACTTGTAAATAGATAACTATACAGTGTAATAAGTCTCTGTCATGTTTGTCATACGTCTTTCCTGATTTCCTGTTAACCATTTAAAAGCTGCTTCTACATAGCAGTAGGTTCGACACATTCCTAAAAGAATAAATCATTACTATGCACTTGCATATTGACACAGGACACTAAAATCTATCACACAAATTCTTATGATATGAATCTTGATATCTTTAAGCTCATATTTTCATACAAGTTGCCTACTGCCAGGCACTAACCAACTCGACCATTAGATTACTTCTGTAATTACTCACCAGAAAATCTGCAACCTATTTATGCTTCTACACCTGCTTAAATACTCAAGAAAAATTATATCTTACAACAACAGTATCTACTGGCATTTAGAATTCAATATACTGCATGATGAGACATTACTAACCTGCCCATGAGCGGCAAGAGCAAACGATACTTGGGTTCCTGTCGTTAGTTTTCGGATGGTGAGGCCTTGCAAAGCTTCAATGACACGAGGACGGTAGACTTTCGCTGTATCACCATGGCCTAATTTACCATGGTCACCTGTACAAACAAGGATGGACTTTATTACCTGGCGAAAATAAATTTCATAATAAACCTCTTTCCTTCCTCTTTCTCTTTTCCTTTTTTTCCCTCTTCTTCTCTGTCTCTTTCTTTTTTTTTCTCACTTTATCATTATCTTTCTCTGTTTTTCTTTTCTTTTCTCGCACTCTATCTCCCTCTCTTTCTCTCTCCCTCCTTTCTCTTCCCCTTCCCCTTCTCCCCTTCCCTTCCCTTCCCTTCCCCTTCCCTTCCCCTTCCCCTTCCCTTCCCTTCCCCCTTCCCCTTCCCCCCTTCCCCTTCCCCTTCCCCTTCCTTCCCCTTCCCCTTCCCTTCCCCCTTCCCCCCTTCCCCTTCCCCTTTCCCCTTCCCTTTTCCCTTTTTCCCTTTCCCTTTCCCTTTCCCCTATTCTTTTCCCTCTATCTCTCACCTTTCTTCCCTCTCCCTCTTTTCTCCTCCCTCTCCCTCTCCTCCTCTCCTCTTTTCTCCTCCTCTCCTCTCCTCTCCTCTCTCTCTCCCTCTCCCTCTCCCTTCTCTCTCTCTCCTCTCCTCTCCCTCTCCGCCCTCTCCCTCTCCCTCTCTCCTCTCCCTCTCCCTCTCCCTCTCCCTCTCTCCCTCTCCTCTCTCCTCTCCCTCTCCCTCTCTCTCCATCTCCATCTCCATCTCCTCTCCCTCTCCTCTCCCTCTCCCTCTCTCCTCTCTCTTCTCTTCCTCTCCTCTCTCTCTTCCCTCTCTCTCTTCTCCTCCTCTCCACTCTTTTCTTCCTCTGTTCTCTTCTCCCTCTCCTCCCTCTCCCTCTCTCTTCTCTTCCCTCTCTTCTCTTCCCTCTCCTCCCTTCTCTTCCCTCTCCCTCTCTCCTCTCCTCCCTCTCTTCCCTCTCCTCCTTCTCTTCCCTCTCCTCCCTTCTCTTCCTCTCCTCTTTCTTTCTTCCTCTCTTCCTCTCTTACCTCTCCTCCCTCTCCTTTTCCTTCGCCCTTATGTTCCTTCTCTCCCTCTTTCTTGAAGTCACTAGTCATTGCCAAAATTCCTCCAAACACTTTTTTTCTCCTTATGAAGCAAAATAGTTAAATACATACATATATAGAAATGAACATATCGTATCACTGTAGCTTACCTGATCCGAATGACCACACTGTCCTACCATCGGCTGAGAGAGCAAGTGTGTGGGCACTGCCGCACACCACTTGACCCACACCAGATATATCCCTCACAAGCGTTGGCACATTTCGACTTGTGCTATCTCCGTGCCCTGCAAGTATGTGGAGCATTAAAAGAATTTGCCGATGTGTTACAACATAATGGCGTACTCGCTAAAAATCTAGGAATAAAGTCAAAAGAGCTTTGCCAAAATTAAATAATCATACTGTCTCGTGTGCTTCTTAGTGTCACAAGATATACATGTTTTGCCAGTAATACTAATGCAAAATGCAAAAAGAGTCACTGAGAGCCATGTTTTCATTATGGCCAACTTTGGTCGCCTGTTTGGCTGAGGGCAGCATTTATGGATCAACATGGAAAAAAAAACTACAGATCTAAAGAAACGCATCCTTGAACAAAATTTATTGTGACTCAAAAAGAAAAAAGTACAAATGAGAGTTAATGATTTCACTATGCAAAATTTGTATAGTACATGATGCATTTTAACCCATTAACGCCGGTATATTTTGAAGCCGAAAATAAAAGATTCCGGGCGGCTACAAAATCGGTGCGCGGACCGCCCATGCCGGCGATGGCCTACTGCTGCATCGGAGTACAAGCCCCAATACAGCGTCACACTGGCGGGACGCCCGGCAATGTAAATTTTTTCGGGTGTCTCAAACTTACAATAGTGAAATACGTGGTGAAATAATTAATTCTTGTTCATACCTGTTCAACCATTGCTTGCTATAAAATGACCACACTTACCCAATCTCCCATAGTCGCCTTCACCCCACGTATACAGTTCTCCCTCCTGGGTCACACAGGCTGAATGACGGTATCCTGCAGATACCCACCGCACCACTTTAACACTGAGAGGCCCTGCTATGAGCCTTGGGTACTTCTGGGTCACATTATTTCCATGACCTAGCTTCCCATAATCACCTATAAAAGAAAATACGGTAAAAACAATCTCACTTCTCTTCAACAATATCTTCAAGCTGCATATCTTAACTTTGGAGAATTTTGAAGCAAACTGGATGCATTTGCAAAATACTATCAAAGTTATGAAATACTATCAATGGTAAAAGTATGAAATTGAAAAGTTTTTGAAAATAGCAATTAATCAATAATCTTTTCTCTATTTCATTAATATTTGCTGCTTAAATCCACTAAAAATTTAGACATATATTCAAATCTAATTCAAATTAGCCCTTTTAAAATTAAATTAAATCTTCCATTTTCATCAATTTTCTTTATGCATTTTTCTATCAACACTCTCTAGTTCCACACCAGATTTATACACAATACTCCAGGGAAGGCTTACCGTCACCCCACGTGTAGACTTGACCAGATGTGGACAGTGCCATGGTGTGGCCATCGCTGCCTTTGGAGGATGAGACTCTCCTCACCCTCGCATCCAAGTTCAGTCTCCGTGGTGAGGGCTGATTGTTGGAGTCACCAAGACCCAGCCTGCCGTAGCTTCCCTTCCCACAGGCACTCACTCCCCCGTCACTGTGCACCACGAATGTGCAATACTGTCCAGCTTCCACCTGAAAAAAATCATTTTCTCGATCAACTTTACAAAGCAGTTTTTTTTTACTAGCTTTAGTATGCAGAAGACTTTACTTCACACTTTACTGAGTTACCAATACAGCCTCTGACTCTTTCATTAAAGTACATAGTTACCTCATTGACTACACACTTCTGTGGGTCATAACAAAAGACTACTTTAGTTCCAGCTGAAATTTGGTGAATAAATAGTAGACACAAAAACAACCAGATGAAAGATCTGTCTAATTCCTTCCTTGCTGTTTGAAATTTTGAAGTTTTACTATGGCAGAAGTTGGTTTCTGGCATTTTACACACCATAAGAGTTACAGATATACTGCCAGACAATAAATACATCACACTTATGAAACTGAATGAGGAAAAAAAAGCTCACCAGTAGTTAACAGACTGTTCTTAGCCACAACTAAGACAATAACAACTTTTGGGATGGCACACAAAGGACTTGATTTCATTTCTTCAACACAAACCTGCTGCACACTGCTGAATGCATGAGTCAGTTTTGGAGAGAGAATCTTATCCTGAGTTCCTTCTGCCAGCTGATGTGAGGAGTTGCTGCCCCACACATATACGTCGCAAGATTCATTCGTTTCATTCACTTCTTCGCACGAATCACCAATGCACGTACGAGCATATTCACCTGAAAAAGAATTTTGAATGTTCTTATATCTTCTGACATACAAAATGTTTTTTTTATGGAAAAATCATCATTATTACAACGAAAATAGCACCCAAAATACTCCAAATTCTTTTTACAGCAACAAACTTACAAGCCAACAATGTGAGTTTCTCCATCAGTATGAGAGAGGCTTGGTAGAGTGGTACTGTGTGGTCATCAAGTGCACCGGGTATTAGCCCACCTATGATGCACTCCCCACTCTGCGCCAGAGAATTCATTACCTCCTGCAGACAGCTGCTACTGATGCAAGTCCTGTTAGAGAAAAAAATGATGCTGTTAAGTCATAAACTCCCTGTGTATTTAACATCTACTGGAGAAATGCGTTTCTTACATCAATCATTCAAAAAGTAAATGCTATATAACAATCTTACAATTTCACTGCTTTAGAAATAAATTTTGACCTGTTAATGCCATGAAGGCATAAGCCCAATACACTGTTATCTTAGTCATTTTAAATTTACATAGATGGCTCTAGAAGAGCTCAGGCACATAACAGCGAGGAGGAGGAGGAGGAGGAGGAGGAGGAGAGGAGGAGGAGGAGGAGGAGGAGGAGGAGGAGGAGGAGGAGGAGGAGGAGGAGGAGGAGGAGGAGGAGGAGGAGGAAGGAGGAGGAGGAGGAGGAGGAGGAGGAGAGAGGAGGAGGAGGTTAACAACCTGTACTGATCTGCTTACCCATCACTGGTGTCCTCTGCGGCAGTTGTGGCAGCACTGAGGGCCATGTGAACCCATTCCAGTAAGTAGCGCAACGACCCTCTCTGGAGACTTAATCCAAGTAGTAACTCTGCACTCAACTTTCGACCTTTAAAAGTATAAGATATTCTCTATGTAACATAGTAATTTGTATGCAAAAAAAATTAGTTCTCCTGTCATTTCAAATTCAAACAAAAGGTGAAGTGTACCAAATATAACAGATAGAATATGAATTTGCACCAGACACGCCTTTCTACAGCAATAACCCAAATAGTCACTGTTGACAATGGCATCCATACATCATTGAGTTATCCTTGTATAAGACAAATAAAAGATGAAAAAAAGGTTTCTTTGGCTAAATCACTGGTCAATGCAAAAGAGCAACCCTCATTCTAGTGAAAAATTGTGCCTGTCTATGCTGTGATTATCAATGAGCTTTTAAAAAATTATTGAAGATAATCTTTTTTGCAATCAAAAGACTTTCATTTCCCAGAATCTTTTTTTATTCTCGGTCCCTATAAAGTGGAATGTTGGCGTACTTGCACACATTCCCAACCGTGCTCATTGGTTATCTTACCAGTGGGATCTGCAGGTGACGATGGTTTTGCAGTTTCCGCAAGAAAGGTTGTCAGCTGTGACAGTGATGCTAGGCCAACGCGAGGCAGCTTAGACTCAACTGCCAGAGAAAGAGGTGGAAGTGCCCGAACAACTGACACTGCTGTCCCCAATACTTCGGAACAAAGACTTCCACCAGCTTTTAAAGAATGAAAAAAAACAATATATCACCTCTATATATCTATATATGAAAAGTATACTTCAAAAATACATCATATTAACCATATCAAACAAACACACATTGCTTCTGGATTTTACCCAATAGAACATACAACTCAATCCAAATTTGCTGCTTAAGTATATCCACACAGGATTTCTATCTTAATTGCGCAAAAGTATCCAAGAATTAACAACATCATGCTTACAGTTATTCAGCCAGCCCTGTCTAAGTATCGTGAAGAGAAGCGACAACCCGGTGCGCACTCCAAGCTCGACCAGGGCCTCATTGGCGGAAAGAGAAGCACCGTTGCCCTGGAGGTCTGTCGTGGGTCCTCGTTCAGTGGTTCCTGTTAAGGCCTGGCAAAAAAGTGTTGACATAAATATACGCCTACATACACATACATAGATATAGACATAAAAATGTAAATAAAAATACAGGTACATGCATTTATCTATTCATTTATTTATCTATTTATCTATCTATCCATTTATTTATATATTTATCTATCTATCCATTTATTTATCTATTTATCTATCTATCCTATCTATGTACACAGATGTTGTGTGTGTGTGTGTGTGTGTGTGTGTGTGTGTGTGTGTGTGTGTGTGTGTGTTGTGTGTGTGTGTGTGTGTGTGTGTGTGTGTGTGTGTGTGTGTGTGTGTCTGTGTATGTCTGTGTGTCTGTGTGTGTGTGTGTGTGGTGTCTGTGTGTGTGGTGTCTGTGTGTGTCTGTGTGTGTGTGTGTGTTTGTGTGTCTGTGGTTTGTGTGTGTGTCTGTGTATCTGTGTCTGTGTATCTGCTGTATCTGTGTCTGTGTATCTGTTTCTGTGTTGTGTCTGTGTATCTGTGTCTGTGTACTGTGTCTGTGTCTGTGTCTGTGTGTGTGTGTCTGTGTGTCTGTGTGTGTCTGTGTCAGTGTGTTGTGTTGTGTGTGTTGTGTGTGCATGTGTGCGTGTGTAAATATAAATTAATTCACAAAGTGTGGAGTAAAACAGAATCATACACGAGTAACATTTTCCTTTTTCCATCACAAGTTTGATGAAAAGCAGGCTAGAGATCCCTGGCACAAGAAAAATATTAATAAAAACATTATACACAGAGCATCCCCAGCTTGACGTGTGGCTTGAGGTCTTCTCACATTACAAGGGTTTAAAAAATAAAATCAGACATTCATCTTTTGAGAAAAAGGAAAAAAATAGTCTTACTCTCTCCCTCTCCCTCGAGCCTTGGTGGAAGCTTCGCGCCAGAGCATGGTAAATCCTCTGCAGCACGATCAGTCGCTTGTGGAGGAGGGCAGAGAAACGGGGCTGGGCTGCAGTAGAACTGGAGAAGGAAAACAAGTATATGTTTAAGGTATAAACTTTAATTTCAAGTATTTATCCCAGTCGTCATTTCCTTCTTACACTGCTACAAAAAAACTAAACTGAACATTCTATGACTTCAGACAGATCTTTAATCTTGCTTTCTTACAGGCTCCATTCCAAATTTAGGACAGAGAAAATGGTGTAAAAATACTTGCAATACTTTCATCGTGGCCATAAAGAAATTTTCCTCATGACATAGTTCCAAATAAAATCAAAATTCTTTTTAAGGTAGGAGGAAGGAAGGAGGAAGGAGGAAGGAGGAAGGAGAAAGGAGGAAGGAGGAAGGGAGGATGGGGAGGAATGGGAGGATGGGAGGATGGAGGAAGGAGGAAGGAGGAAGGAGGAAGGAGGAAGGAGGAAGGGAGGAAGGGAGAAAGGAGGGAGGAAGGAGGGAGGATGGGAGGAAGAAGGGAGGAGGGGAGGAAGGAGGGAGGATGGGAGGAAGGAGGAAGGAGAAGGAGGAAGGGCGGAGAGGATACTAATTACCCAGATAGTTTTTTTTTTTCTAGATGAAAATTAAGAACATAGAAGTGCTGTGGCTACTATAGAAAGGGTTTTCAAAAGCAA